TCGCTGTTTTGGCCGCCGCAGTGGGTTGCTCATATTTCGGCCCTGGGAATTAACAACTTGGACGTCCACTCAGAGACCTAATTTGAAAGTTGGTAATTACAAAGACGACAGGTGGATAAATTTAGAATGATGGGAAGAAACCAGCATAAAAAGGCTGAGAATACTCAAAATCAGAACACCTCTCCCTCTAAAGAGGATCACAGTTCCTCATCAACAAGGGAACAAGACTTCATTGAGAACAAGCGCATCCTATTAACAGAATCAGGCTTCCAAAGATGGATAATAAGAAACTTCTGTGAGTTAAAAGAACATGTTGTAGCCCAATATAAAGAAACTAAGAACTTTGAAAAAAGGTTTTGATGAAATCCTAATGAGAATAGACAACTTAGAGACGAATATAAGTGAATTAATGGAACTGAAGAATACAATGCAGGAACTCCGAGAAGTATGCACAGGTTTAAACACTTCAAATTGTTGAAGCAGAAGAAAGGATATCAGAGGTAGAAGTCTAACTTAATGAAATAAAACAAGAAGACAAGATTAGAGAAAAAAGGATAAAAAGAAATGAACAAAGTCTCCAAGAAATGTGGGACTATGTGAAAAGACCAAATTTACGTTTGATAGGTGTACCTGAATGCGATGGAGAGAATGAATCCAAGCTGGAAAATATTCTTCAGGATATTATTCAGGAAAATTTTCCTAAACTAGCAAAGCAGGACAATATTCAACCCCAGGTAATACAGAGAACACCACAAAGATATTCCTCAAGAAGAGCAATCCCAAGGCAGATAATCGTTAGATTCACCAGGGTTGAAACGAAGGAGAAATTACTAAGGGCAGCCAGAGAGAAAGGTCAGGTTAATTACAAAGGGAAGCCTATCAGACTTACAGCAGATCTCTCAGCAGAAACTCTACATGCCAGAAGAGAGTGGGGGCCAATATTCAACATCCTTAAAGAACAGAACTTTCAGCCCAGAATTTCATATCCAGCCAAACTAAGCTTCACAACTGAAGGAAAAATAAAATCTTTTATGAACAAGCAAGTACTCAGAGATTTTATTACCACCAGGCCTACTTTACAAGAGCTCTGAAAGAAGCATTACACATAGAAAGAAACAACCAGTATTAGCCTTTCTAAAAATATACCAAAAAGTAAAGAGCATCAACATAAAGAAGAATTTACATCAACGATTGGATAAAACAGCCAGTTAACATCAAATGGCAGTAATCCTAAATTTAAATTGACTAAATCCCCCAATCAAAAGATGCAGCCAAAACCCAATGGCATGTTACATCCAGACCCATTTTCACATGCAAGGATACACAAAGACTCAAACAAAGGGATGGAAAAAGATTTATCAACCAAATGGAAAGCAAAAATAAATAAATAAATAAATAAAAAGCAGGAGTTGCAATTCTCATATCTGATAAAATAGATTTTAAAGCAACAAAGATATAGTGGTAAAAGGATCAATGCAACAACAAGAGCTAACGATCCTAATACCCAGATACATAGAGACTTAGACTCACTCAATGAGACAGAAAATTAATAAGGATATCAAGGACTCGAACTTGGATCCAGAACAAGTAAACTTAATAAATATTTATAGAGCTCTCCACTTTAAATACACAAAATATACATTCTTGTCAATACCTACTCATAGGTTTAAATGAAACATTGATTGGCCATTATTAATACCCTTTTTTTTTTTTAGAATAAAGCAACATTTCCCTTCTCTCTCTCTCTTTTTCTTCCTCTCCTTCACTCCTTTTTTTTCTTTCCTTCTCTCAAAAAAAGAAAAAAAAAGAAATCAACTTGTAGACCTCTAGATCCAGGTCAGCAATGTCTCTCTCATTGCTCGATTTCCTTCCTTCCCTTCTCTCCCTCCCTCCCTCCCTCCCTCCCTTCCTTCCTCCCTCCCTTCCTCCTTTCCTCCCTTCCTGCCTTCCTCTCTTCCTAAAAAACAAAAAATAAATAAAAAAAAGAAGACACAAGCAGATGGAAAAACATTCCATGCTCATGGTTAGGAAGAATTAATATTGTGAAAATGGCCATACTGCCCAAAGTAATATACAGATTCAATGCTATCCCCATTAAGCTACCTATGACCCTCTTCACAGAACTGGAAAAAAGCACCTTAAACTTCATATGGAACCAAAAGAGAGCCCGCATAGCCAAGTCAATTCTAAGCAAAAAGAATAAAGCTAGAGGCATCATGCTACCTGACTTCAAACTATACTACAAGGTTACAAAATAGATGGGAAAATTAGAAAATTAATTATAAACTATCTTAGTAATTACATTATATAAATTAAGTAAATGGTACAATTAAGAAGAAAAATTGTCACACTGGATAGAACAGATTATACATTTTAAAGGCATGCTTTAGAAAATTGTGGTCCTCAATGGAACAGAACAGAAACCTCATAAATAACACCACACATCTATAACCATCTGATCTTCGACAAACAGGACAAAAGCAATGGAGAAAGGATTCCCTATTTAATAAATGGTGCTGGGAGATAGCTAGCCATATGCAGAAAACTGCAACTGGACCCCTTCCTTACAGCTTATACAAAAATTACCTCAAAATAGATTAAAGATTTAAATGTAAAACCCAAAGGCATCAAAACCCTAGAAGAAAACCTAGGCAATACCATTCAGGACATAAGCATGGGCAAAGACTTCAAGACGAAAACGCCAAAAGCAATGGCACAAAAGTTAAAATTGACAAATGGGATCTAGTTTAACCAAAGAGCTTCTGCACAACGAAAGAAACTTTCATCAGAGTGAACAGGTAACCTATGAATGTGAGAATCGTTTTGCAAGCTACTCATCTGACAAAGGTCTAATATGCAGAATCTACAAGAAACTTAAATTTACAAGAAAAAACAATCCCATCAGAAAGTGGGCAAAGGATATGAACAAACACTTCTCAAAAGAAGAAATTTATGTGGCCAACACACATATTTAAAAAAGCTCAACATCACTGATCATCAGAGAAACGCAAATCAAAACCACAATAAGATACCATCTCATGCCAGTCAGAAGGGTGATTAAAAAGTCAAGAAACAATAGGTGCTAGCAAAGCTGTGGAGAAATAGGAAAGCTTTTACATTGTTGGTGGGAACATAAATTAGCTCAACCACTGTAGAAGACAATGTGGCGATTCCTCAAGGATCTAAAACCAGAAATACCGTTTGACCCAGAAATCCCACTACTAGGTATATACCCAAAGGATTATAAACCATTCCACTATAAAGACACATGCTATGTTTATTGCAGTAATATTTACAATAGCAAAGACTTGGAACCAACCCAAATGCCCATCAATGATAGACTACATAAGGAAAATGTGGCACATATTTCCATGTGCCATGGAATATGACACAGCCAGAAAAAAGAATGAGTTCATGTTCTTTGCAGGGACATGGATGAAACTGGAAGCCATCATTCTCAGCACACTAACACAGGAACAGAAAACCAGACACCACATTTTCTCATTCATAAGTGGGAACCAAACAATGAGAACACATGGATACAGGGAGGGGAAACATCACACACTGGGACCTGTTTGGGGGTGGGGGACAAGGGGAGGGAGCGCATTGGGACAAATACCTAATGCATGTGGGGCTTAAAACCTAGATGACGGGTTGATAGGTGTAGCAAACCACCATGGCACATGTATACCTGCATGTTCTACACATGTATCTCAGAACTTAAAGTAAAATGTAAAAAAAATTAATTCCAGGAACATTAAGCATATTTTGAAATTTAAAAGGTTTAACAAAATATAATGGAATTTTTTAAACCTCAGTTAAGTAACAAATTTTTAAAACCTAACATAAAAAAGGCTCAATCATAAAAGAAAAAATTATCTGATTAGATGTAACTGAAAAATTCTGTGAGATTAGAGACAGTCACAGAAAATGTTAAGCCACATATTAGATGTCCTATGAGATAAGGCATTATAATCAGTAAGAATATAAGTAATCCAGCAGAAAAATAGGCATGGATAATGGACAAAAACCTGTCAAACAATGACCAACAAATATATGAAATGTAAGTAGGCTTCTTAATGAAATATAAGTTAAAACAAAGAGCTACCATCTCATAGCTTTCAGACTGCAGAATTTAAAAATTCCAATAAGACGAAGTATTGGTGACAAGATAGGAAAACCAGAATGCTCTTAAACTGAGTTTGAGAGAGCAAACTTGCATAACACTTCAGAGGGCAACTTGATAACATCTAAAGTGACAGCGCATACACATCCTACTACCCGAAATTCCATTTTTTTAAATGTATGTATGTATGTGTATATATACGTATATATTTTCAGACAGAGTCTTGCTCTGTCGTCTAAGCTACAGTGCAGTGACAAGGTCTGGGCTCACTGCAACCTCTGCCTCCCGGGTTCAGGTAATTCTCCTGCCTCAGCCTCCCTAATATCTGGGATTACAGGCGTGAACCACCAAGCCTAGCTGATTTTTTTTGTATTTTTAGTAGAGATGGGATTTCATCATGTTGGCCAGGCTGGTCTCGAATTCCTGACCTCAGGTGATCCTACTGCCTCAACCTCCCAAAGTGCTGGAATTACAGCTATGAGCCACCATGCCGGGCTGAAATTCCATTTGTAAACGAGTATCTAGCACATCTGCATGAGGTGACATGATCAAGAATGTAGACTTGCAGCACTGTTCAAAATGGCAAAAAAATAACAATTTAGACAACCATTAATTTTTCACTTAATATGTTGTTTAGTGTCATATCATTTATTGTAAGTAAACTGATATAATACTAAACAACATATTAAGTGAAAAAGGTTACAAAAGATTACATACAGTAAAACACCATTAATATAACTTTTGTTAATTATTATATATTGCTTCTAAATAAAAACACATGGTAAAGAATAAAATCTTAAATAGGAAGGAGTCGCACCAACTTCAGAATAGTAGGTTTGCTCTACAGAGAAAAGGAGGAGGATGGCGCCAGGGAGAAGTACAAAAGAGTAACATTTTATTTCTTTAAAAATCAGAAGCAAATATGGCAAAATAGTATGTGAAGAGTACAAGGGCATTTATATTATTTTTCTGTATATTTGAAATTTTCTTAATTAAAAAGAATTTTAATGGGCACATATGGTATAACAATCAAATAATAACATTAATTACTTGCACCACAAAAATGGATCAAATAAAAACATATTATTTAAGCTACAGAAACTTAGGTACATACATTAGAGCATGTGATAAGAGTAAAAAATAAATTTTAAAATTTGCAATTTACTTTGGGTTTTAAATTAACAATTTTGCTAATGTTGCTAATCTCATGCAATTTTAAAATGTCCTTATACACTAAAAGTTTAAGGGCTGCTATCCTTTTGTTAGAGTTGTCAAAGCTATACAGATACAACTTTAATGTGGTATCCTGAATTTCAGTCTCATTTTGGAAAGCTTTTCCTTTAGCATATAAACAGTTAACAAGCTTGACAACTATACTTACAAGTCTTAAAGAAATGTATTAAGAGTCCTACGTATGAAGAGCAGTTATTTAATTATAACTACTTAATTATAGTATTTCACCAAGAATCTGATGCTCTAATACTGACATGGAAAAACAATGCTCCATTATTCCATTTTCTTTTCTGCTTGGAGTTTGAGTCAAAAGCCAAGATGTACCAATACTGGAAAGGTTTTAAACAGTCTTATTATAAAACCATTTTTAAAGGAAAAGTATATAACTTTCACAGGGAAGTAAAACAATTCTTTGGGACTGCTATGTCAGAGAGAGACATAGAAAGACAGAGAATATTAAAGAAAGGGGTTAACGAGGTAGTAAAATTTTGCTATCTGTACTTCACTTACTAACTCTCAGAGCCTCAGGGCTAGAAGTAATAAATATTTTACAGAAAAATGTAGGAGGCAAACAAAACTGGGCAGGACACTGCATCTATAAATACAACTCAAGAGATCTATAACTCACACATAGTACTTCACTCTCAACTATAATCCTCTGATCACATTCATACTATTTCAACAGTCATTTTACCCAGTAGATGGAAAGCAGTTAATTTTATTTTTCATGAATTGTTTTTGCCAATTAAACATATGCAATAGAGAAGATTAGCTGAGCTCTCAAGTAACCTAGATATGCAATATGCTATTTCCATGTAATGGAAGACTGCAATCAAATTATTCCAAGTTCTGAGCTTCCACACTTTTATATTTTGGGCACAATTTTTAAGAGTGTCAAAAGACAGGTTTTCACTTATTCCACTTCAGCCTATTATACTGAATTTTACTTAGTGCTAAAATCCTTTTCTTTCATTTTTGAAGGCTGAAAACATTTGCTCCCCAAATCTCTTATTTAGTGTAACTTTGCTTACAAAATTAAAAGCCTCCTGCAATATTTTAAATGTTTTGTTTTTTCCACTGATTTTTTTCCTTAATTCCCTATCCAGTAACGGCTATAAGCAATTTTCCACTGATTTTTAAGTTTCAGCAATACTCATTTATTTCTCCCCCTCAATAGAAGCATAACTGCCATGCTGCTTCATGAATGAAATAATAAACTGCCATTTCTCTCAAATTCTCACCCTCTAGAGACTCACTCAAACTGAGCAATAAATTCACTGACAAGTTTACAATTCAAATTCCTATATAGAAATAATTCTTCCACAAGCAAAAGGTCAGCATCAAGAATTTAATTTTCTGAATTTCACAACCCTTGATGAATGGAGGCACCTTAAAGTTCAGTTTACACTCTTTTATACAGGATTTCAGAGCATGCTTCCAAATAGCTTAAGACAAGCTATATTAATAGTTTAGTGTCACTTTATCATTAAAATAATCTACAAATATCAGAATACTACTAATTTATTGTCATGACTAATAAATAACTCTTAAAATACCTATAGATGTAAATCAGCTCTCTCAGTTCATTTTGCTTCACTTGGACTATCTGAAAACACAGATCAACAAACAGAATGGGTTTATCAATAATATAGTTGTACAATCTTTCACAAATTCCAATTCTGTAATTTAGGGGGTTTTCTTATTTATTTTTAAATATACAAAGAGATTAATCCATTAATATAAATATTTTCTCTCAAATATGTAATATTCTTTTGTAAAAGAAAGTTCCCAAACATTTACAAAGCAATCTAAAGTTAAGTAAACCTGATTTTAAGATTATTATGCTAACCAAAATACTTTTTCAGAGAAGGTCCTATTTAAAAGTAATGCTCACTGGCTTCCCCACATCCACACTTTAAGACGGATCCAAATCCAATGCCTTTGCTCGACATACTTCAGGGATCACCTCCAATGAAAAAACATCTTAGAAAAACGTCTCACGACAGAGTGGACAAGTAGATTTGTTGCTGGATGTAAACCATTTGTACTGAAAAAGAAAAGGTTTTAAGTATTAGAAGAACTTTTTAAAGTTCTCCTCTTATATATATCAAAAAGTACATATACATTTAAAGTAACCTTTGAATGATAAAGTAAAAAGGGAAGAATACTAACATTTTTGCTCTTTCTGTTAATCTCCAAAATCAACACAAATGAGTATTACTTCTGAAGGCTATACTAAGTTCTTTCTACTTAGGCTTATGTACACAACCACTAAGATATAAGGAAGATCTCCTGTGAAACAAATGAACAAATGGCAACTTTTTTTTCAGTAAGTTTAAAAAGAGCACAGGGCTCTGATGCCAGATGGCTTCTAGTACCAATTCCTGTAGTCTCCTTCATGGTATAGATCTCATAAGACCTTCTACTTCTTGAGTGGTAAGAGGTCACTGGAAACACCCATTTATTAGAGGTCCTTGATTCTACCAGTCTCAGCAAATTGCAAATTATCTTTTATAGGTTTTTAAAAATCACTTTTTAGTATATCTCTTATTAGCTACAATTAAGTTTAACATATATTTTCTCTACCAAAGTTAGACATTGTGTGTGCGTGTGTGTGTGTGTGTGTGTGTGTATAAAACACATCAAATATAAGTGCATTAATTTATCTTTAGACTTACCAAGCAGGCTGAATGGAATTTTTTCTTGCATGTTCTACAGGCTTTTTTAGGAAGGGAATAGTTGAAACCGTGAATGACCGAGAAACAGATCATGCAATCTTCAACACCCTCAAAACGTTTGTCTACATTATTTTTCCATAAAGCTAAGCCTTCCATAATACTTCCATTCTGTTAACAAGAAGAAAAATAAGTCAGTATACATTGATGACCACCAATTTTATTTTTATTCAATTTTGCAAATTTTAAGGTTGAATTATAATTCTGAAAGAAGAGAATCTGCTTGGCTATGTTCATATTTCCTTTCATGAATGTTGGTTTTTAAAATAACCTCCCAAGTTTTAGGAAGCAGATGTAATTTTTCTCCATTAAAGACATACTTTAAAGGCTTCCAGACCAATATTTACAGTGTTATAGTCTCAGCTCATTGCTTGATAAAACTCTCTCAATAATTAAATAATTTAGGTTAGTTCTTCTAATGTTGAACTGAAAATGATGAAATTATCTGATTTCAAACGATTTGTTCCAGTTCTACAATATTGATGAGCACATTTGTTTTAAAATAGTTTTTCCTGGCTGGGTGTGGTAGCTCACACCTGTAATCCCAGCACTTTGGGAGGCCAAGGCAAGTGGATCACCTGAGGTCAGGAGTTGGTTGACTACCATGACTAACATGGTGAAATGCCATCTCGACTAAAAATACAAAAAATAAGCCAGGTGTGGTGGTGGGTGCCTGTAATCCCAGTTACTCGGGAAGCTGAGGCAGGAGAATCGCTTGAACCAGGAGCAGAGGTTGCAGTGAGCCAAGATTGTGCCATTGCACTTCAGCTTGGGCAACCAAAGCGAAACTCCCGTCTCAAAAAAACCCAGTTTTTATTACTGTAGAATGCCTGAGATACAGTATGCAAACAGAACTGAAGATTTAAAATGTGTTTAGAGGTCAAAAGGTTTTCAGAGTACTGGGACTTCTCTAACCAAAGAAGAGTTGAAATGTAAGAATTAAAGTTAAAGTAGCTCAGAAGGCATTCATCTCCAGTATTTTTCAGAAGATCCTCTCTCAATTTCCTTAATATCACATATTGTTCTACATCTTCTACAATGTTAATGAAATAAAGTCAATCCCTCTCAAACACCAGAAAATAAATTACAGAACCGTAAAAAGTAAAACAGAAGGGCAGGTTTAATCCATTTAGGGATATGTCTATGTTTAAGGAAATTTAGTATCGGTTTTTATCGTAAGCAGAAAAGATATACTTTATGTTTAAATGCCCTTTTAAGTTGATCATCTTTTTCGAGTTTGTAAAGCCAAATGTGTGAACAGGAACTTACCTGATGGGTTAGGTAAGTGCTTAACTGCAGCATCCAGTTCCGCCACTGCTGAACGGCCACTCCCACTCTTTTCCCACTTTCTACAGTTATTGAACCCAGTGGATAATTTGAGGGCAGTTGTATTATAAGTTCAATAACTATGTCTTCAATAGTGTAAGTAGCCATTACCTCTCGAGTAGTAGCTCGAGCTTTAACCTACAACACAACAAAGGATATTTTGTTTGCTAAATTCCTTTCTTTCATCCAGAAAACATTTTTTGTTTTCGAGATGGAGTTTCACTCCTGTTACCCAGGCTGGAGTGCAATGGCGCAATCTCAGCTCACCGCAACCTCCACCTCCTGGGTTCAGGCAATTCTCCTGCCTCAGCCTCCTGAGTAGCTGGGATTACAGGCATGCGCCACCATGCCCAGCTAATTTTTTGTATTTTTAGTAGAGACGGGGTTTCACCACGTTGACCAGGATGGTCTCGATCTCTTGACCTCGTGATCCACCCGCCTCGGCCGCCCAAAGTGCTGGGATTACAGGCGTGAACCACCACGCCCGGCCCCAGAAAACATTTTGAGAGGTTGACTATTAAAAGCTGAGCCTTCTTTCAAGGACAATGCGAGTAAACACATCCACTTATCTGACATGAGATAATTAAGAAATAGGTTTAAATATCTGCCTGGTATGTTTTCACAGCGATTTCATGATATTCAAAGTTTGTTTTAAAAGCAATTAATTGCTCATTTTAAAAAGGTTTTATTATATTAGGTTTGTCACATAATAGCTCAATAATCTTTGAATAGATAAATGACAGAATGGGTTATTATCCCTTCTCTTCCACACCCACAGTATCAAATGTCACTTCTCTAACAAGTCTTTCTCTACCATATTATTCTCCTGAGCATTGAAGCCAACCATCAACTGCCAGAACATTTATAGTTATTTGTTTGGTTTTCAAATATTGCAAACTCAACATAAAACAAACACATTATCATCCTTTACAAACTTTGTCTTCTGAATTTCCTACTCCCAGGCTAAAAATCATCATAGCATCATTTTAAATTTCTGCTTCTACCTTAGCCTAGATATTAACTAATGGTAAGTTTGGCTAAATCACTAGCACAAAATCTCTCACATCCCTCTCTTTTACATTCCCACTGATACTGCCTCAGTCAGGTCCTAGTCCTTGGCTCCTAATGTCCACCCCAAGTCTCCTCTAACCATTCATTTGAATCCAAACTGTCTGCCAACAGCTCATGCTATAGACAGTGGTCGGAGCAATTTCACAGATTATAACTCTGACCATGCTACTGCCTGAATGAAAAATGTTCAGTGGCTGAACTGTACCACTTTTGACTGTTTTTTGAGGCCCTTCCCAACACACCTCTAATTCACTGTTGAATAGTCTATTCACCTTTTGGGACTCCTACTCATTATCTGGGTTGGAATACTGCATTATTTCTTGGACAATCACTGAAATGACATTCTCATTTCTGTGCTCTTTGCTTTTGCAATAGTATTTCCTCTATATTGCCTTTCCCTTCATTTTCCCTATAACAAAATCCTGCCCACCTCAATGTGATTTTCTTCCATAAAATCTCACCCAATCCCCCTCAGCCAGATGAATCTGTCCCACTCAGATCATGAAGCATTCTCTCTTAATATGCTACTTTCCAATGCAAAAATCATTATCAGTATTGCTCTTTTCCCTTTATTAAACAGAATCTGGTCCTACTAAACTTCATTTCCCTAGTGAGCGGTACACAGTGCTTGGCATCTATAAGTATTCCAATACAGATTTTGAATGAACTAATGAATGCTTAAAAACTATTTGGTGGCTGAAATGGTTTGGAGCTGCATCCCCGCCTGAATCTCATGTTGAATTGTAATCCCAAATGTTGGAGGTGGGACCTAGTAGGAAGTGACTGGATCATGGGGGTGGATTTCCCGTGGGTGCTAGTCTGGTAATAGTGAGTTGTCATGAAATATGGTTGTTTAAAAGTGTGTGACACCTCCCACCTCTCTCTCCTGCTCTGGCCATGTGATGTGCTGACTCCTGTTTGCCTTCTGCCATGATTGTAAATTTCTGAGTAACTGGGATTACAGGCACCCACCACCACACCTGGCTAACTTTTGTATTTTTTTAGTAGAGGCACGGTTTCACCATGTTGCCCAGGCTGGTTTCAAACTCCTGACCTCAAGTGATCCACCCACCTCAGCCTCCCAAAGTGCTGGGATTATAAGCATGAGTCATTGCACCCGGCCTAAACCTCTTTTCTTTATACATTACCCAATCTCAGGCATTCCTTTATAGCAATGTGAGAATAGACTAGTATGTAATAAAATTATATCACAGTCTCAATCCACGCATGAAGTAATGTTGAGATTTGATACACAAATGAGAAAATAAAATAGGCTGGTCTTGAACTCCTGGGCTCAAGTGATCTTCCCACCTTGGCCTCCCAAGTGTTGGGATCACAGGAATGAGCCACCACTCCTGGCCACCAATTTCTATAAATTGAGTCAAGAACTACAGTCTGTTATGATATTCATGATAGACATACCCAATATTAAAATAACTTTTCTAGAGAAAGTCAAGACAATACTAACCGTCATGCCATTAAATAGTTGTGTACTTGTCTGTACAGAAGATATTTCTTGAAAAGAAAGTACATTGCTGACATACTTGCTTGTAAATCTATCCACAATATTGAAAACACGCTTCTCACTGCTATTCCACCACAACCTAACCATAGCAGGCAAGTCTTTTAATGTCATATGATAGACTGAACAAGCCAAGTGTGGAATGTGGTATGGGAGAGTTGCAGTTTCTGAGGAAGAAAGCAAATTCTTGGTTAGTAACATATATTTCTTATAAACAAACTAATATTAGTATTTTCCTTAGAAAGTGATCCTTACTTCCTCAATAATAGTGCTATAGCTCATAAAACAAAACCAGAGAAACCAGAACTCTAGAGTATGAGCATCCTTTCACACATTCAAAATTAACCATAAGAATGCCAAATTAATTTTTTTAGAAAGTGAAAATCCCAATTAACCCTGAAAAATCTACCTAGAAACAGAATTCTATATTTACCATGAAAGACCACAAATCAAACAGAATACACATATTTTAAAAAGAAGGAAAAATTAAAGACGCCTGGTGTTATAAATTATGAAAAGGAGTTTGGCCTCCTTTATTTTCCCCAGAGTTTGCTGAGCTGCTGTACAGAAGTCTTGGAATACCCAACTCAATACTCACAAGATACAGTCCATCCTAGGATCTCCAAGGCATTTAAAAAATTCATATTCTTAGTAAATTGTTTTCAATAGTGTAGTACAACCAGATACATGCATATCTATCCTCTCAGCTAAAATGTGAGCTCCCAGAATGAAATAAATTTTATTCATCTTAATTTCCCTTTTTATATGCCTATAAAATTTTATTACATAACAAATATTTGTTTACAGAGTAAAAAGTTAATAGTCTCACCACACTAAGCTTCAAAAATGTATTAATGGCCTCATAGTCTTACAGGTAAAATCTAATTATTTGTCCTATTTAGAACAATATGGAAAATGACGAATTTCAACACTCTCATAGCCAGGACTCACTTCTGGGGTTATTCTCCACATTCCCAGGGAAAAGTTTAATTCAACCTAGTCTGAATCTAGTGTCCAACAAAAAACATAAACACATATCTTACTGACCTCTAATGCTCAGCTGCAGCTCCTCAGTAAAGAATGTTTTAGGGTCTTTATTTGGGACCTCAATTGCTGTCTCTGCATAGGTTGGATTTTCTGGCATAAGCCTGAACAGGTGATAGAGCAATTTATTCAAACTCTTTGTTTTCCGAAGATACATTGAATACAGAGCCCGAAGCTAGTGGAGAGCAATGAATCTGTTAGTAAACCAAATACACCAAGATAATTGGTATAAAGAACAAATCAAAGTATAACAAATTTCCCTTCCTTATAAACTAGCAGACATTCTCCCTATTCCCACATTATTATAACATATGTTTCTAATACCTCTCTCAAAGTGTCTCCCTGTATCACAATACACTCACCTTGGTTTAAAGTATCTTAGACAAAGAAATCTATTCAGCATTCCCACAGATGGCTCGCTCACTCTCCTCCCAAGTCTTCCACACATTCCTTCCACACCATTGTCCTTAACATTTCAAATTTCTATTTAAAACTAATCCCATTTTTGTGGCTGACCTCACCCTGTATCAAAAACTCCGATGACCCTTTAGGACAGAGAGCACAAACTAGTAGTCCAAAAGGTCTTGGGGGTCTTCTCAGAGTTGTTTTTTCAATCAGGAAATTGCACATAAAAATATGGATTTCTGGTTTCTCTTTTAAAAACAGGAAAACGAGCCGCTCCTGGAAGCATGACAGGTAGCTATGTGAGGCCTGTGCTTTACAACTCCTGCTTTCCCCCAATAGCACAGCTTGCATTTTTCACATTCACTTTGCAGTTCTTTGGTATCTGTATTGGTTTTAAAATGATTTCTTCTACTTTATCACATATCTCCTCATGGTACAAAGACACTATTTTCTTTTTTAAAATTTTTTATTTTTCATTTTTGTGGGTACACAGTAGATATTTATGGGGCATATGAGGTATTTTATAGGCATATAATATGTAATAGTTAAGTGGGGTGTTCATCACCTCAAGTATTTATCCTTTCTTTGCGTAAAATACACCATTTTCTGAACACTATGAATACTTAAATACGAGGATCAAGTCATAGGATTTCAAATTGATTTTTAAAATATGTTGACCAAAGTACCCTTACCATCAAACTGAATGTCACCACTGAAGGATGAACATCCCAAATCTGAAAATCCAAAATCCAAAATGCTCCATAATCTAAAACTTGTTGAGCACCAACATGATGTTTAAAGGAAATGCTCCCAGAGCATTTCAGATTTTCGGATCTGAGATACTATATCAGTACATGTAACAAAAATATTCCAAAATCTGAAATCAGAAACACTACTGTCCCAAGCATTTTGGATAAGGGATACTCAACCTGTAAAATAATACAATAACATTATATGGCTCCTGAGATAAGACACTGAGAAGACATAACAACTTGTGAAGTGAGTACTCTTGCTGAAAATTAACCAGAATCTAATGAGGAGACAATCAGACAAATTCAAATTGTATGACAGGCTAAAAGCAGCTGGCCAAAACAATGACAAGAAAGAAAAGAAAGGTATAGGAATTATAGGTTAAAGAAATTTTAAAAATATGGCAAACAACAAACATGAACAGAGAAGAAAATAAAACTATAAAGATATTACTGGGACAACTGAAAGTATCTAAATAAAACTTAGGTATTATTGCATCAAAATAAATTTTTTGAGTATAAAAATTATATTATGCTTATATAGAAACATATCCTTGATCTTAGGATGTATATGCTTAAATACTTTTGGTAAAGCATCATAATGTCTGCAACTTACTTTCAAGTAGGTCAGCAGAAAAAAAGTAAATACAGTAAAGTATGTGCAAATGTACCAATACGTTAAAAATGTGCTGATCTAAAAGTCTATGTGACTTTTCATTGAATTATTCTTCCAATTTCATTGTAAGTTTAATTTTTTTCAAAATAAAAGTTGGAGATTTTTAAAAAATTAATCAGCAATATCAATGGACTTTAAGAAACACACATATATGACCCAACAATTCCACTCCAAGATATACAGCCCAAGTGAAATGAAAACATATTTCAACACAAAAGCTTATACATGAATGCAGCTTTATTCACAATAGCCAAAAAATGGAAACAAACCTAAATGTCCATTAATAAACAGATAAACAAAATATGGTATATCTATAAAACAGAGTATTATTCAGCCACGAAAGGAAACGCAATACTTATGATACATGCTACAGTTTGACAAAAATTGAAAACAATATACTAAGTGAAATAAAAGCCAGACACTAAAGACCAGATATGTGAAATATCCAGAACAGGCAGATGCATAGAAACAGAACACAGTTTAATGGTTTTCAGGAGCTGTGGGGTTTGAAGGGAAATGGGAAGCGATTGCTATCAAGTACAATGAGATTTTGAAAATGCTCTTAAATAATGTAGTGGTAATAGCTGCACAACTTTGTGAATACAGTCAGCCCTCCATATTCATGGGTTTCACATCTGAAAATTCAACCAACCGCAGATTGAAAATATTCGAGGGTCAAAAAAGTGATTTTTAAAAATCTAGTACAACAATAAAAACACCACAAATTTCAAAAATGCAGTATAACAACTATTTCAATAGCATTTACATTGTATCAGTGATAACTAATCTGGAGATGATTTTAAGTAGTATACAGGAGGATGTGCATAGGTTAGATGCTATTTTATATAAAGAACTAGGGTATTCACTGGGGTGGTGGACATGGGAGGGAGCCTGGAAATAATCCCCTGCAGGTATCAAGGAATGACTGTATACTAAAAACACCAAATTCTATGTGCTAGGTGGGTACATTTTATGGTATGTGCAGTATCTCAGTAAAGCTTTATAAAACAGTCACAAAAACATACACATGTATATGTACAACATTTTTTCAGTTCAAGCTGATTTGCTAGGAGCTTTTTTTTTTTTTTTTAGAAAAAAAGTTAACCCATGATTTAGGAACATTTAAAGTTTTCTGAAGAAAAATTCTGTTTATTTCAGGACTCTTCTAATTAGTATTATTTAGCAGGATATTCTGGTTTATCTGCCCACAGCTCAGTTCAAGTTTCAGACGCAGTAATCATAAATGCTGCTGTATAATTCTGCACCCTAACCCAATCCCAGCTTAACAGAAAAGGCAAAGCAAGGCCATTTTCCTAACTTCTGAATCTAAAATAAGAACAAAACTCTTAAACACAAAAGCCCGAATCTGCTGCAATTTTTTAGAGATTAACAATATTTTAAGAAATTAATGTAAAAGCCCAATAAGGAGCTCTTGAAATATATCATCAGCAAATAAAACTAGCTTAAGTCATAAAAATAAGTGACAGTCCTGAAGAGAAAACTAATCAGTTTAACAACTAGATCAATGCTGCCTCTGTGATTTGATTTTTCCCCTTAGATATACAAATACAAAGATGCAAAAATTGGTATCTTTGTACCAAGGTATAGGTGACAAACAACAACATAATTTATGATTTTAAAATTCTGAAAAAGTTTCATTGGAAATGAATGCCATAAATACTTCATCACACTAAGTGATAAACCACATCTCTTTGTATTGACCTACCAAAGAAGGCACATATTTTACTAGGTTGATTCAATGAAAGATTGATGGAAATTTGGATCTTTCTTGTTCTTTTTGAGACAGGGTCTGCCTCTGTCGCCAGGTTTGAGTGCAGTGGCATAATCTCAGCTCACTGCAACCTCTGCTTCCTGGACTCAAGCTATCCTCAAGTGGGATCTTTCTAAAAGAAATAAAAACTAGAGAGAGAGCTTTCCAGTTTCTTCTTGGACAAGGTCTTACTTTCTAAACTTGAGACAACAGAGACATCTAGTGGCTACTAGAATAATTTGGGCAAAATATTTTAGGTATTTTCCCCATTTAGATAACAGTCTGAATTATTACATGGGTTATGTTTCACAGATCTTTCTCCAAACAGTGATTTTTCAAGTAATGTAAATTTCCAATGACGTATTAAGTGAAATCTCTACAACCGAGTGAAAAACTGACACCCCCCAAAAAAAAACAGAAAAAACACAAGACCCAATCCTTTTAAAATCATTACTATGATAGTACAGAATTAAATTATATAAATCTTATTTCCTGGCCGGGCGCGGTGGCTCATGCCTGTAATCCCAGCACTTTGGGAGGCCAAGGCGGGCAGATCATGAGGTCAAGAGATCAAGACCATCCTGGCCAACATGGTGAAACCCCGTCTCTACTAAAAATACAAAAATTAGCTGGGCATGGTGGTGCATGCCTGTAGTCCCAGCTACTCAGGAGACTGAGGCAGGAGAATTGCTTGAACCCAGGAGATGGAGGTTGCAGTGAGCCAAAATCACACCACTGCACTCCAGCCTGGCACCTGGCAACACAGTAAGACCCTGTCTCAAAAAAAAAAAAAAAAATCTTATTTCCTGAAATAAAAGAACCCGGTGACTATTCAGTTAGAAAAAAACTGATCTGGCCACATATCAGGCAAAGTAAATACTTTTGCTGGGAGGGGTGAGGCATAAGGGACAGGAGTAAACTTACTAAGCAGATTATCTGAAGGTAGCTGGATAAAATGAGATTAGGTTGGGCGCAGTGGCTCCTGCCTGTAGGTCAAGGTGGTTAGATCGCTTGAGCTCAGGAGTTTGAGACCAGTCTGGGCAACATGGTAAAACCCCATCTCTATAAAAAATATAAAAATTAGCCAGGCATGGTGGGTCACACATGTAATCCCAGCTACTTAGTGAGAAGATCACTTGAGCCCAGGAGGCAGAGGTTGCAGTGAGCCAAGATCATGCCACTGCACTCCAGCATGGACAACAGAGTGAGACCCTGCCTCAATTAAAAAAAAAAAAGATAAGATTAAAACATAAGGCACTTCCCTTTTATTAAGTTGAAGGGAAGGAAGGTATTTAGAACAGTGTCAGAGAAGCATATTAGGACAGAACTATTGAAAGTTGTCACATATTTATTTACCTGTGATGAAGCAGCTTTGAAGAAAGTTAGTATTAATTTCCAAGTGAGAAGGTATCCCAGAACATAACAGAAGTCTTCACTCAGTGGTTTAATAGTAACTATCTGTCCAACGGGAATACACCCCAAAACATTTTCTAATAAATCCTCTTGAGTGCTAAGAAGAGACATCAGTGCTGCTGGTGGTGACCTAAGAATCAATGATTAAACACCCGAAGTTTTCTTTATAACTCATTCCTTAACAAATTGACAGTATTTGTAGACTTCAAGTATTTTAGAAAAATTTCTCTATTTTCCAAAAACCTTCTACAAATTTTCCTCTATTGATCCAATTTTAACTTCCAATCTCATATAACAGTAAAATCAAAAAGACATATTACAGCACTTGAAGGAAAGACATTTTTAGAAAACATCTATTTCAATTTTCTGTTTTATAAGTGAAAAAAGAAAAAAAAAAACCACACACTCAAGGAAGCCAAATGATTAGTCCAAAGTCCCTCCGTTAGTCGGGGAAACTGTTACGGATTCAAAAATCCTACCAAGCCTTTTATCATCCTTTATAAAAGATAAAGTGAAGATTAAGACTTCAAACTTTATCACTTCATCCTAGTTTCCACTTTATTGCATATTATCTACTTATTTAGCACTATTAAGAGATGTCACAATCACATAATTAATCAGAATGATAAACACAGAAAATAATTATGTGCCTATTTAAAAACTCATGATTACATCTCTTTTTAGGAAAATAAATGTATCATTCAGATTAATTCACAATAATGTAAGTTAATTTTCTTCTTTACTGAACTACTCTACTCATTTATACTTTCAGGTGAACTTATGAGATTTTCAAAAAGTAAAATACGTAACTCCCTTCTCTATGAAACTCTAGCCTGGTTCTCTCCTTTTACTTCCATGATCGTTCTTCCCTTGTGGGTTCCTTCTCCCAGCCCAGAAGTACAGGCCTTCTCCAAGCTTCTGCCCTTGGGTCTTTTCCTTCAATACCTCCATCTCACGTATCAAGCCTCTATATTCCATACTGATACTCACTACATCTTCTAAAATACCAGCTTTGAAACCTCTCCACTTTTCACACTGCCCTCCGTGCATTGTTATTTAACTTCTGGAATCACCTCCACCTCTGCTTGCTTCTTTTTACAATTCATCTTTCACATTGATGTCAGAATCAGCTGGTGGTGTCCTATTTCCTAACAAATAATGCCCAAATCTTCCCGGAAAAGTCATTTTTAAGGTCATTCATTATCGGGCCTCTTTAACTACCCTTCCAGCTTTATCTTCCATTATACCCTGCATACTTTATACTCACTGATTCATTTATTCTTTCATTCAACATACTACTCATGATATCTGCTATGGGCCAGGAAGCATTCTGTCCTAAAGCATTCTGGCCGATTTCTCTCTCAGAAATAAGAGACAGAAATTCTTGCCCTCACAGAATTTATATTCCAGTAAAGAAAGACAGTGTCAATAAAAGTATACATTAAGCGGTAACTACTCAATATTCCCCAAGTACATCCTCACATTCACGATTCAGTGACTTTGTACATAATGTTCTCTCAACTTATATTATCTTTCCTGTCCTGGAGAAGTGCTACCTAACCTTAAAGGTCCAGTTTAAATGCCTCTTCCTCAAAAGAAAGTCTTCCTTTCCTGATGTACATTAATTGTGCCCTCACAACATGCTATCTTACATAGGCCTAACTGACATGAAAAAAAAAAAGTTATCTTTTTTTTTTTTTTAGCACTTATCATATACTATATTTTCTATAAAATGGTATCATCTGTATAGGATTAATCCCCTAAGAAAAAGAAAGTGCTCACTAAACACTGTATTAATACTATCCACAAAGTGGATGCTCAACAGATATTTGAACTGATACACTCTTTCCAGAGCCATTATATGGCCAAAGAAAGTTTTACTAAACAGTAGCAAATGGAACATGTGATTTAAGAATAATTAAGAGAGAGAAACAATCTTTGGGTGAAATCTAGATTTCATTTATATCTTACAAATAACAAAAAAGATCTGTCTGTAGAATGAATATAACTCTAATTTACAGCTTTTGTGCTGCTTCAGTCTTCTAAAGACATTATAAGTGAGAAGGATTATAAGAATTTTTAAAAAAGAAAAACCTTACAGGGCTGGTTCTTCTTCTTCATCTCCATATGACTTTAGATTATCCTGATCATACTGTGGTAATTCAGGCATCAATCTAGAAATAAGAACATTATTTTTAAATATGTGATATTAAATTGTTTACTAAGTCATGTTCAAGAACAGAAAAGTCAATTCTTATTTTATAATGAGTAAATGTTTAAATACGTTTTCTCTAAAATAACTACTATAGCCAGGACTATTTAAATATAAATTGTGTATAGAGAATGATAACCTAAAAGATCAAGCAACTTAGGTGTCACTACAAGTGAAACAGTCAGATCTCCTTCTTTTAAAAATTTTACTTCTTAATTAAAAGTAAAACCTAAGCATATATTCTATTTTTTTAGACCACTGTAACATTGATTCAATTGGATGAATTCTTACTTGTATAGCATACGATAAACAGCAATTTGCACAGGCCTAGCTCTGAAGAGGAGTAATGGGGCCAACGTATTTAACAAAGTCTGGAGATATTCTGGTAAGTTTGTTTTTTGGTCCGCAACTAATCTCGCAGGAAGTTTGTGACTCAGTAGCTGCTCCTTTGAGATATATGTTAATGTTTCACACATGGGTTTCAGCATTGCATTCTGAAAGGATGTTTCAGACATATCTTTGTTTTCTCCTAATGACAAAAAGGAAAGACATGCATGTCCCAGAAAAAAGTTAGTATAACATAACTGATTCACAATCAAATGTCATTTTAGAAAATGAAATAAAAACTAGACATAAACAATAAAGCAGTCTTAACTAGAAACATGAACTGAATATGTATTTCAGTTCATCTCAACTATTTTAATGACTTTCATCTGATCCTTTTCTAAAAAGAAAGCAAATGGTCAATAGTGAGGTTCTATTCACATAATCTATTCATGTTATCTGAATTATTATTATTTTAATTTGCAACAGTCATTGGATACCTTGCCATTTTTTTCAACTCTTGTCTGTAAAGTAGAAGCATATATGACGCTTCTGAGATGCCAAGCTTTCTCTTCTGGCTTTTTCTTTTACTATTTAGTATTATTTGATTTTTGGTTTTGAATTTTTCAGTGAGTCATTTCCAATGAATCAATCTCATTATTATTCCCCTTTTCACTTGCCTGTAACAGTCACCAAAATAGGTAAAAGCAAACTGTGGATGCCTTGGGAAAAAAATTCTTTCCATTCACTGATCAGATTTATAGGAAGGCTGCCACTGGTATCCAGAGTTGTGGAATCAAAAAAAGCACTGAGGTCACAGGCCAAATCACAGCTGACACAGGCAAACAGTTGCACAAGTGGAACAGAATACAATGCCTGATTCTCACTGGTTGTCTGAAAAGCAATCAAAATGAAACAGGGAAACAGACTTCTACCAGAACACTACAAATAAGCCAATAAAGAAAAACCCCTCTTTCGTTTCTTTGAATTTTAAAATGAAAAGCAGTTGAAGTGTGTAGTCTCAGGAGAAATATAAATATTTTACATCAAACTTTTTTTCTTCAAAATTAAATACCATGAATTAGAACCATTAATAAACAATTTATTCTGAAATGCCCTTTTTAACTTCTAAACTATGGAAGAAAATGCTAAGTCAGATACATTAAATACACATTTCTAATCTTCTCAGAAGCCCTACAAGTTGTGAGTTATTATTTTAAAATAAGAAAATTGGCCACATGCAGTGGCTTATGCCTGGAATCCCAGCACTTTGGGAGGCTGAGGTGGGTGGATCACATGAGGCCAGGAGCTTGAGAGTAGCCTGGCCAACATGGTGAAACCCCATCTCTACTAAAAAAATAAAAATTAGTCAGGCATGCTGGTGGGCACCTGTAATCCTACTACTCGGGAAACTGAGGCACAAGAATTGCTTGAACCCAGGAGGCGGAGGTTGCAGTGAGCCAAAATCACACCACTGCACTTCAGCCTAAGTGACAGAGTGAGACTCTGTCTCAAATTGAAAAGAAAAGAAAAGGAAAGAAAGAAAACTGAGGCTCAATAGTTCAAGTTTAAAACTCTAAGTCACATAGCTAATAGCAAGCAAAGCAGAGATTCAGACAATTCAACCCTGACTGACTTGCTACCTTGGAGCCCACAAGTAGTATACCTCTGGCTGCTCTGTGTCATAAAATTACACTAATTACCTCTGAATTTGCTAATATTTAATGCATTATTCTCGTAATACTCACATAGTACATTTTAGAAATAATCTAATTATAACCAAAAAAGACCAAAACAATTGTCATTAAAAGATAAAACCGGAAAGGGCTGTGCTGCAAATATTATGAGAAGCTAAAGGAGAAGGCATTTTAATAACAGGAGATTTGGTCACTGAATGATGCTAGTAGTCATTAAAAATCTATCATTTTACTAGTCTGTGAAATAGTAGCTGGTGAGGAGAACATCTATAAAGTGTTTTAAATTATGCGAAGGAGCTAATTACAATCATCACTTAAAGAATGAGATCAGTAAATCGTTCTGATGCAAAAGTATGCACAAAGACCCACAAGAGGTGATGACACATCAGGTTAATTTACCTCCAACCAAGCCAACATGGAGCACATGATGAAGTCCCATTCACTCTCTGCCAAAGGGGATGTGCAATATTTCAGAAACAGGGAAAGAAACCGGATTATTTCTATATTTACACCCAGTACCTCTGGACTTGCTTCTGATAGATTACTGTGTTAAAGATAAAAACAAATGATAACAAAAGAATAATTATATTGGCATTCAATTAGAAAATATTCTACTTTAAATCTTATATACTTATAAATAACTGACTCAAATGTCTACCATAATTGCTCTACCAAATTGTGATACAGATATATAACCTCTGTGTGACTTGTATACTGAAGGAAAAACATAAAGTATTACCTACCAACTGAAAAGAAAAATATCTTCATGCTCTTTCTTCCAGGACATTATGATTTTTAATATTCCATGTAATAGCTCTCCATCATCTATACTTCTGGTCTGTAGACAAGAATTGAAAATGGCAAGATGTCCAAAACCTCCTAAAATAAAATTCAAAATGAAAATTAAAAAACTTTAATAACAACATCTACTAATAAAGCCCACTTTAAGAAGTAAAAAAACTTTCTTTTAAAAATTTTACTCAGGTTAAGAATTCTAAAAATGGCTCTTATGTAAGAGTCAAAAAATGAACTTATAAGCTCCAAAGGCCAGAGACCCTGTCTCCATACCTAGCACCTAGCACACAATAGAGAATTTGGGGAGGGGAAATTAAGTAAATGATACTGTAATTTAAACTGACTTATGCTGTTTTTTGTTTTGGTTTCTTAAGTGTAGGACATATTCAGTAAACTCATTGTTCAAATAAAAAAAAGACTACAGCTATAGAGTAGCTGGAAATAGAAAATGGAAAATAGAACTTACTGTTTCATAATTTATACATTCATTCCTCAGTAAGCAGCTAGTGTATGTGGTAAACTCTGATGAAGACCCACTCTTCATAATCTCTACCATTCCTCAAACTCCATCCACTGGTGTACCTTAACACCCTCTGCCCCCAACCTTCTATCTTAAATACCAGCCAAAATGAACAATCGGTACCCTTGTATGTTTTTGTGTACCTGGAATGCCCTTCCCCAACTGTGTCCATATAGAAAACAACTTATCCTTCAGCATTCAGTAAAAATATTTCTCTTTGTGAAAACGCCACTGACACCCGCAAAGCAGAGTGGAAACTCCTTCCTTTCTGCCACTTCTATACACAGTACATCTTCTTGCTACATCAGTTATCACATGATAAAACTTTATTTATGTTTGTCTTCTCTACAACAGTAACTATCATGTAGCTGGTGCTCATAAATGTTATTAATTAACAAATGACAGTGCAGTGTTTTAAATACAACAGAAGCTATTTCTGCCTTTTTTTTTTTGAGATGGAGTTTCGCTCTTGTTACCCAGGCTGGAGTGCAATGGCGCAATCTCAGCTCACCGCAACCTCCGCCTCCTGGGTTCAGGCAATTCTCCTGCCTCAGCCTCCTGAGTAGCTGGGATTACAGGCACGTGCCACCATGCCCAGCTAATTTTTTGTATTTTTAGTAGAGACGGGGTTTCACCACGTTGACCAGGATGGTCTTGATCTCTTGACCTTTTATAAAGGTATTTCTGCCTTTATATGTTCAATCTCTGGTTGACTAGGGAGAAATGAGGCACAGCTTTAAAAAGCTATCGAGAGATAAAAAATGGTTAGGCAGTATTTCTGGGTGTGAGTCTTCCCCTAAGGCCAGAGCATTTTTGTACTGCAAAATGGTAACAGCCACTGTCTAACGGCACTCATCCATATAATCTCAGAACAAATCTGGTATAATTCAATTTACTTCTGTTAAATATGGTCTTATATATTAGAAACAGTTCGTACTCTCAAGCAATAATTAAGTTAATAAAATATTTATTATCAAGCAACTAACCATTAGTACTGCAAAGATCTTTCTTAGTCCAGGCAAAAAGAGCAGGTATACATTGAGCACTAAATTCTTTCTTTTCTTCTTTTGACAAAAATGGACAAAGACTTTGAATGGTATGCAAATTGCCTTCAGTTAGTGGAAAAAAACTGTTTAAAGAAAAAAAACAATTAGATTTCTTCCAAATATACGGTTATTTCATTATATTCCTTTTATTTAGACTATTCAAAAAGATGAATAATTCTATCATATAAAATAACTACATGGAAAAAAGAAACCTATGATAGATTTAACAAGTGCTGGCTGGCTGAAATTTTTTTTTTTTTTTGCCCTTTTCTCTTTTCTGCATATTTCTGATTTTTAAAATGAACATATATAACTTTTCCCCATATATGATTTTTAAAAATTACACTAGCCACATGACATTATGTTCTCTTTTTAAAAAAAGAGTCAATTGATTCAACTAAAATAGTTGTGTGTCCTTTTTGTTGTTGTTGTTGAGACAAGAGTTTCGCTCTGTTGCCCAGGCTGGAGTGCAGTGGCACAATCTCAGCTCACCGCAACCTCCACCTCCTAGATACAAGTGATTCTCCTGCCTCGGCCTCTCAAGTGGCTCAGATTACAGGCATGTACCACCACATCCGGCTAATTTTTTTTGTATTTAGTAGAGACAGGGTTTCACTATATTAGTCAGACTGGTCACAAACTCCTGACCTCAGGTGATTTACCCACCTCAGCTTCCCAGAGTGCTGGGATTACAGGTATAAGTCACCTTGCCCAGCTTGTCTTGTCCTTTCCTTGAACTGATATTTGTATTTGTGCATATATATAGTCAGGTTTTAGTCACATAAAAGGGATGACATTAAATATATTGTTCTATTATTTACCACTTATATATATTTTCTGTCAGAACGTATATTCTGTTTTAAAGCTACATAACAAAAATGAACAAAGTCTACCTAACACTCCATACTATGGATGTATCATTATTTAACTATTTCCCTGTCAGTGAACATTTAGGTTCCCCCCACCAATTTTTGCTCTCATACATAATGCTGCAATAAATATCCTAAAGACAGTATTATTCTGCATATGTATAAATACTTTAGACTAAATTCCTAGAAGTGAAATTGTAAGCTCAAAGGAAGTGAATGTATTATATGTTAGTAATTTCAAATTGCTTTATGAAAACGTGTAATCAATTTACACTTTCACCAAAAATGTACAGATGTGACTCTTTAGCTGCACACAGTGAATCTTTTTGATTCTTGGCCATACAGTGGATAAAACTACTGCTTTTAATTTGTACTTCTGTCATTATTAGTAAGGCAAATCCTTTCATATTTCACATTTCAGTATTGAACTACCTTTGACCATTTTATGTATGAATTGACCCTTCAAGTCTTTGTTAAATTTTTCAATTTGGAAGGTTTTACTGATTTATACAAACTATCACATTTTACAGATCTTTTTTGTTGATTTGCAAATGTCTTCTCCCATTTTCTCATTTGTCCCTGTAATCTTTATATTTCGTATTTTGTCGCAAAGTCTTCATCTTTCAAAAATACTATATAAAAAATTCTGTCATAAAATACACATGAAATTTATGTATTAACCATTTTTAAGTGTAGAGTTCTGCAGTGTTAAGTACCTTCACACAGTTGTGCAACTAATCTCCAGAGCTCTTCGTTCTGCAAAACTGAAACTCTACCTACTAAACAAGAATGCTCCATTCCTCTCTCACCCTCAGCCCCAGATAACCACTTTCTTTCTACTTTCTATCCCTATGAATCTGACTACTCTATTAAAGGAATCATAGAGTATCTGTCTTTTTGTAACTGGGTTATTTTGCTCAGCGTAATGTCCTCAAGGTTCATACAGACTGTAGCATGTCAGAATTTCTTTTCTTCTTAAGGCTGAATAATATTTCATTATATGGATATACCACACTTTTATTTATCCATGCACCCACTGGTGAGTGCTTAGGTTGCAAGAAGTTTTCATTTTTACAAAATCAAATATATGTATATATCTACATATAATGTAAAGGAGAAGTTCTCAGTACTTTTTTCAAAACACATGTCCAATTTTCTATCATTATTATTTACTCACCACACTGATTTGAAATGCCAAATCTTAAAAACCAAATTCACATACATGTGTGGATAGCTTTCTGGACTCTATCCACTGATTTGTCTACTCTTCAATTTCACACTGCTTAATTACTATAATTCAATAATATAGTTCATATTTGGTATGCAGTCTCTTTCACTTTTTTCAAAATTTCTTATTTTTGAGCACTTTTGCCTTCAAATGTATACTATGTTCAGAACAGTTTACTAATTTTTTCAAAAACTGCTGAAATTTTGATTGAGATTGCACTGAAATTACAGATTGACACAACCACTTGCACAATTTATCTTCCCACCTTCTTTTGTGATCTTTATCCAAGTTTTATAAATGTAATTGTTTTGTTAAATTTATTTCTAAGTATTTAGTTTTTGTTGTCATTATGAATAGAATCTCATTTTTTTCCCCATACTATTTTTAAAATTACTATGGGTGAATAAGAAAGCTACTGATTTTTGTGTGTCAAATATACATCCATCTCTTAGTAATTAGTTCTAATAATTCTTTAGCTAATTACATATTCCTTTTATAATCAGAAAAAAATTTTAATTGTGCAAACTAAAAAAGCTAATGTCAAAAAGTTACATACTGTATGATTCGATTTATATAATATTGTTTTTTGTGTTTCTTGTTGTTGTTTTTTGAAACTGGGTCTCACTCTATCACCCAGGCTGGAGGGCAGTGGTGTAATCTCTGTTTACTGCCACCTCTGCTTCCTAGGCTCAAGCAATCCCCCCCACCTCAGCCTCCTGAGTAGCTGGAACTACAGGTACACATCACCACACTGGGCTAATTTTTGTATTTTTTTTTGTAGAGATATTATATATTCTTAATGACATAATTAAATATTCTTAAATGACATAATTACAAAGATAGAGAACAGATTAGTGGTTGCTAGGGATTAGGACAATGGGAAGGGAGGTGGCTGAAGCTACAGATGAATAACCCAAGGGATCCTGAAAATGAAACTGTTCTGTACTTAACTGTGGTGGTGGTCACAGATGTGAGCTACACAGAATACACACACACTCTTTCTATCTGTCTCTCACACACACAAACATGTGCATGTAAACTAAGTCAATGGACCGTATCTGCCTTTTCCTTGGTTGTAATATTATGCTAAAGTTATGCAAAACAGTACCACTGGGTAGATGTATGACTTTTATTCTTTATATTACTTCTTACACATTCAGGTGAATCTGCAATACCTCAAAAAAAAAAGTTTTTTAAAACTTTCAAGTGAGATAAAAAACTGGCAAAATTTAATTTAGAATTCTAGTATGCCTGAACACATATCTATCATTTCAGAATTCTTGGTAAATCAGTGAATTCAAAATGCCTCTTAGTAAATCTCAGCTAAGTATGAATTGGAATATGGAACTTCACCAGTAGGCCCAAACCCGTAATCTACTTCTTTGTCTTAAGAACAGAACACGTTACATTTCTAGAACATTCTTCAATAGGATGATGTTATTTAAGAGAATTTCCCTATCACTTCCATATAGCAAATAAAGTGATGGAAAAAGAGGAAACAGCAAAAGTAAAGATTTCTATCAGATTTCTGGGGTAAAGAAAACAAATTTATGAAATGTTATTAGCTTAAAAAAAAAAGTACAGTATAAACTTCTATAACAAAAGGTTATAGAGTTAAAACTACTTACTTAAAAAAAAGGTGTGGGCCACGCACGGTGGCTGACACCTGTAATTCCAGGCCTTTCAGAGGCTGAGGCAGCAGGACTCCTTGAGCCCAACAGTTCAAGACCAGCCTGAGCATCATGGCGATACCCCATTCCTACAAAATTTAAAAATGAGCAAGGTGTGGCAGTGCACACCTGTGGTCCCAGTTACTCAGGATGGTGAGGTAGGAGGATCACTTGACCACAGGAGGTTGAGGCTACAGTGAGCCATGTTTGTGCCACTGCACTCCAGCCTGGACAACAGAGGGAGACCCTGTCTCAAAAAAACAACAAAGTACATCCCTCACCTAAAACAATTTAATTTGCCTTGAAGTCTTTAACTTCATTTTCTAAACCTGTTTTCATAATTTGTTAGAGATTATTCATTAATTAGGGATTGCCAATGTGACCAATTACAGTAAATTACAAAGTAGAAACATTTTAAATAAGAATACCCTTCTTTTCTCTTATAATGTGGTTTTACTTCATCAGATGAAATGCTTCGGGAAAGGATCAACTTAGCAATAATAAGAGACCACAATGTGCCATGTTCTCTGGACCTAAAAAAGGAAAAAAAAATTATATTCCATTTCAAAACTGTACTTAATAAAATTTTTAAACACTGGCTAGCTGAATTCCTTTTACAGAATGAAATAAAGCACCTTGTGATAGCATCAATTCACCTAAGTCTTTGCACCCAAGCAACTGCCAGTAACTATCCAAAGAGTTGGGAGTTTAGGCTTTCAACACTCCTTCACAGCTGGTACGAAGCTCTCATCCCTAGGCAACTCCAAAGTCTCTTCAGTCCCAATAGGGGAGATGATCTTAGAGATTAGGCTTGAAGACCAGAGGCTGCAGCTGGAAAAAAAGACATCTCCCAGAGGACACTAAGCTGGCTTAAGTTGAACAATCAAAGAGGTTTTTTGGTTCTGAGGAAAGCTGTGAATGTCAACTAACTAGAATGGGATTGGAAGGGAGCCTGGGTCCTCTGATACAGCAATGCTCAAAGTACTATCAGCAAGTAATAAACTCTTAAAGAGAAGGCAGTTCAACACAGCAATTTCAAAAAGCTAAACATCTTACTCCTATAACCTCTACAGGGACTCTGTTTTCACACCTACCTTCCTCATCTAGGGGAGAGAGCTTTGTGGTCATAACATTAAGACACACCTATAACATGTAAGATAAAGAATGAATCTGAAAGTACTGGGAGATTGGGTAACAGAAAAAACAACTTCCACAAGCTTTTACTTCTTTTTTGTCATCTGACCCCTAAATGTATTTATGGATTTAATAAGACAGGCAGAGTACAAATATCTTCCCCTGAAAAGGTTAAATCAAGTATTTAGAATTCATAAACTATTTATCATTAAGAATAGCAATTATTAGATCAATCCTCTGACTGAAACATTAGCATGAAGTAGGGTTACATCTTATAGAAGGCAAAGCCATAAAGAAATAGCATAGTCATAGCTGGGCGCGGTGGCTCTCGCCGGTAATCCCAGCACTTTGGGAGGCCGAGGCAGATGGATCAGGAGGTCAAAAGATCAAGACCATCCTGGTCAACATGGTGAAACCCCCGTCTCTACCAAAAATACAAAAATTAGCTGGGTGTGGTGGTGTGAGCCTGTAGTCGCAGCTACTCGGGAGGCTGAGGCAGGAGAATTGCTTGAACCCAGAAGGTGGAGGTTGCAATGAGCCGAGATCGCGCCATGGCACTCCAGCCTGGGTAACAAGAGCAAAACTCCATCTCAAAAAAAAAAAAAAGTAATAGCATAGTCATTTAAAAAACAGAAATTGGAAGAGATTCTTACCTGTTAAATAACAGCTGCAAAAGGCCAGAAGTATTACCAAGTACACGTAAATTATCATACGTAATATTCATTTTTTGAAGCATTTCACAAAATCCAGTTAGAAAAACAGGTGGGTTATCTAATTCTTCACACCACTGCAGTGAATAAAGCAGTTCTCCAACTAAAAGAAGAGACCAAATTATCAAAAGTACTTTGTGAACAAACACTTCAATTATTTTCACTTCTCTGCCTTGTTTTATAACACTGTTGTACCCACTCATCTCAAAACACCTATGAACTGATTTTCAAATCTACTTTGAGATGTTCAAAGATAACGAAAACTGAGAACATTTGTCTGATATAAAATGCCACCCCTTTCCCAAATTTTACTTAGTCCATTTTCTAATTAGTTAAGAATGTGACAAGAACCTAAGTTACTAGAGATACTGAAAGAATCTTCCTACCATTTTGGCACAATTGATAAAAAGTTGTATACAGGAAAAACAACTAAGGGACCCAAGACCTAAGGTGAGAAGTTCATGCAAAACAGGAGAAAGGGGAGACAGTATGATACAGGAAAAGGGCATGGGCCTCAGTTACAGATTGGGATAGATTCAAATCTACATCTCTCTCAAACTATATAAATAGTTATCAATTAGGACTGACAGGACTGTTGAGAGAATTAAATGACCAAGTATCTATTATGAAGTCTGGCATGTCTTAGGTTTCTAATACACTGTCACAACTCCCTTTTATAAAGCCATGTTTAGATTTTGGAGTCAGAAGTGTTGTGGCCTGGTTCAAAACATAATCCTACCTTACCAGTTAAGCAATTCTAATCAAGTTATGGCAACAAAAACAATAATAATATCTGACTGATGAGGTTGCTAAGATTAAAGAAATAATATTACCAATTTATAATTAGTAAAAGAAAAAATCATTACTCCTCTTACTAGTTTTGTGTTTGCACAGATTCACTCTGTGATCAATATAAACAACAGGCTTATTTCCCTGCCCTTACTCAATGTGAAGCTGGCTGACCAAAAGAGGTGTTTCAACTTTCTTCCACAGAGCATATATTCCAGCCATTCTAGTAACTGTGTTACAGCTGAGGGCTTACAAACAAGACTGATACTGGGTTTCTGCAAATCTTGTACCTTTAATACCATCTTGTAAAGTAACACCACTACCTGTAATTCTAAACCATTTGTTCAAATAAGGAAATTTGCCGAGGCCCTAAGTCCTCTTAGGATTCAACATTTGAATGTCCAGTTGCCAGAAAAAAAATTAGATCTGATGAAAAATACTGATGAACCACAAAAGTATTTCACTATACTAGAATCAAAACAGCATGGTATTTATATAAAAAAAAGACGCACAGACCAATGGAACAGAACTAAAGAACCCAGAAATAAATCCATATTTGTAGCCAACTGACCAAGTCTTCAACAAAAATGCCAAGAACATATATTGGGGAAAGGACATCCTCTTCAATAAATGGCACCAGGAAAGCTGAATTATTTATATATGGAAAAGTGAAAATAGACCTCTCTCACCATCTAAAAAAATCAACCCAAAATGGATTAAAGACTTAAACATAAAAACTAAAACCATATAAAACAACTAGAAAGCATCAAGGAACACTAAGGACATTGGTCTAGGCAATCATTTTTATGGTTATAGGCAAACATTTTTATGGCTAAGACTTAAAAGCAAAGACAGCAAAAATAGGCAAATAGGACTATATTAAACTAAAAGCCTTCAGCACAGCAAAAGAAACAATCAACAAAGTGAAGAGACAATCTGCAGAATGGGAGAAAATATTTGCAAACTACTCATCCAACAAGGGACTAACAGAGAATATATAAGAAACTCAACTCAAAGGCAAGAAAGGGAAAAAAAAAATCCCATGTTCGATATTAGTAATCATCAGGGAAATGCAAATCAAAATGAGATATCATCTCACCCCAGTTAAAATGGCTATTGTCAAAAAGGTAAGAAATAAGCTGGGCATGGTGGCACTGCCTGTAATCACAGCACTTTGGGAGGCTGAGGCAGGAGGATTGCTTGAGCCCAGGAATTAAAGACCAGTCTGGGCAACACAGTGACATCCCATCTCTTAAAAAATGACAGAAAGGCTGGGCACGGTGGCTCACGCCTACAATCCCAGCACTTTGGGAGGCTGCGGCGGGTGGATCACAAGGTCAAGAGATCGAGACCATCCTGGTCAACAAAGTGAAACCCCGTCTCTACTAAAAATACAAAAATTAGCTGGGCCTGTAGTCCCATTGCTTGAACCCAGGAGGCAGAGGTTGCAGTGAGCCGAGATCATGCCATTGCACTCCAGCCTGGGTAACAACAGTGAAACTCCGTCTCAAAAGAAAAAAAAAAAAGACAGAAAATAACAAATGCTGGCTGGCAAGAATGCAGAGAAACAGGGACTTTTACACACTATTGGTAGGAATGCAAATTAGTACAGCCATTTTGGAAAAGGATGCGAAAGTGTCTCAAAAGACTAAAAATAGAACTATCATACAATACAGCAGGTATCCAGAAAAACAGAATATCAAAGGTATATCTGCACGCCCATATTTACTGCAGCACTATTCACAATAGCCAAGAGGTATGAAATCAACCTAAGTGTCCATCAACAAATGAATGGATATGTAAAATATGGTACATATACACAATGGAATACTATTCAGCCATTAAAAAAAGAATGAAATCCTATCACTTGCAGCAACATGAATGAAACTGGACATCATGCTAAGTGGGAAAAAAAACATACATAGAAAGACAAACATTACATGTTCTTATTTGTATATGGGAGCTAAAACAGTGGATCTCACGAAGATAAAGTTGACTGGTGGTTACCCTGAGAAGGGTAAGGGAGAGTGGAGGATGAAGAGAGGTGGGTGAATGGGTATCAAAATACAGTCAAAGAGAAGAGATGAGATCTAGTATTCAATAACACAGTAGGATGACCATAGTTAAAAGTCATTTATTATATATTTCAAAATAACTAGAAAACAAGATTTGAACTGTTCTCAACACAAAGAAATGATAAATGTTTCAGGTGATGGCTATCCTACTTAACCTGATTTGATCACTATACACTGTATATATGTTTCAAAATATCACATGTACCCCATAAATATGTACAATTATCAGGTATCAATTTTTTCTTTAATCGACAGAAAATTCTGAATCCTTGATAAACAATTATCAGGTATCAATTTTTTCTTTAATCGACAGAAAATTCTGAATCCTTGATAAAACACCAAAGCCTCACCCATTTTCTTTAGGGTATGTGCCACAGGATCTGTTTATATTGATGTCATGACAGCCTGAGTAGCTAACACCAACTATGATCCACAGTTAAGATTATAGCAAGATGCCAACATGCTTCCATCTAATTCGCAATTTAACATGCACCACTCAAGGTTCTCAACATTAAAATAGGAAAAAGAAAGCTGAAGATTCTTGAATTCAAGATCTAAATTGCAGTGTAATCAAAATTATTTCAAAACTGTATTTATTCATGCATCATGTTATATGTAAATGCTCATATATACTTACTTATTTTCTCAAGCTCATTATTTTCTAAGACTATTTTCTTTCTCAGTGCAATTAAGACCATTTTGCTCAATAATGCTGAAGTACACAAATGGCTGGGAAGTGTCTTTATGTCCTGCTCCTTAAAATCTGTTTTGAAACATTCATAATTCAAACTCAATCTTCCCTCTAAAAGAGGTCTATGTAACCACTGTGAAAAAAAAAACACATTATATATAAAATTATTTATTACCTAAGCAATTCAGACTGAACAAAAAATGAAGCTGTGAGAATATTTAATTTATTAGCAAAACCACAGGAACCTAAAAGTTTGGTTTCTATTACAGGAAATTAACATGTGTATTTCTTTAAGACTTTTTAAGTACAGAACTAGATCTTAAGTCTTTGTACCACGGCCACTGCCACAGTCAAATTGTGTCTTACAAAAAGCAAACATCCGGTACACGAGCATACAAAAACATAAAAGCAAAGCAAAATACTCATTTTATTTATTTTTTCTCCCCCAAAATGAAATAAAAATATTCAAGCTTGCACGAAATCCAAACTTCAAAATGAAATATGCACTCTCCAATTTCAAAAATACCTGCATAGGAAGAGACTGCCTCATCTTTTCCCATTCATTGTTGCTTGGCATTACACTTCCAATATACACACCCATAAGATAAGAATCTTCACTCTCTAGAAGCGTATTTAGCAAATCATCAACAGCAGACAAGAGGACTTGGAGACTAAAAATAATGCAAAGAATTTAACTGTTGCAGTTATGCCATGACTAGTTTGAATACCCGAGTATGTGTTAAGTACCCTATAATAGCTTACCTGAACAAAAAGAAATGATGAAAATAAAAAGAGGTAAGTGATGCTCCTCAACCAACAACACATCAACATAACACAGTCAAACTGGGCAGGTAATACAATATTTATCATTTGAAATCTAGTGTCGCTTCCTACCTATCTCAGAACCAATGAGACCTGACCTATTTCAGACCAGGTGTTTTTCGAAATATAGCTATCTTATGAAATTCAACATCATTTTACCTAACCCCAATAGCCTCTAAATGCACTCTCTCCTTTATTCTATGGATTTAACTATGAGATGTAAAATATACTTATAATTCCGTACCTTAAAACAGTGCCTACCTGTCCCCCAAAAATAAACCAGAACTATCAGTACATGTGGTGACCATGACAGGCTACAACGCACACCAGCCTATGACAAAGGATAGTATCACTATCACTTTACTGTCTGTAAGTTATAAGTCCAGCAGGTATGGTATAGCAAATTATCCTTCAATTAATTGGCAGCTTAAACGGATGGTCATTGAAACAAAATGGTTTTGGAAAAATCTGTTTGGATCTTTTCTTAGAGTCCTATAGATTTATTACCAGCAAGTCGTTTTTCATTTTTCCTTTTTTAAAGAGACGGCATTTCACTATGTTGCTCAGCCTGGTCTTGAACTCCTGAAGGCCTCAACTGATCCTCCCACCTCAGCCTACTGAGCAGCTGGAATTATAGGCATGAGCCCTACAAGTCATTTTTCATAGGCACTCACATTGATGATGGAATCTTATTTAAGGACACTGATCAAGTATAACAGAGACAATGAAACCAAGCTCAAATGAGGTCACCTGTTGATATCCAAAGATGAAGCCTGAACTTGGTTCTTCAGCCACAGAGCAGACAAATGTAGGAAGGTACTCTCTTTATATGTACTGTCAGTTTGATGAACCAATAAATTTACACCAGAAAGCCAAGTATTTTTCAGTTTACAGATAAGAAAATCTGAAATCAAGATGTCAACAGGAATTTATCATCTCACTGAAATGTCTGAAACAATTCTGCAGAGCTGAGATTTTTAATTTTTAAAAATTTTTAAAATTTTAAAAGAAAAATTTTAAATTCAATTGCCATTCAAAATTCAATTGCCAAACAAAGCAACTGTGTCATTAACATGCAATAATACAAGCTAGCTTGTATCATAAAAATGTAAAATGATAAATATTTTTAAAGTTACATTTTTTCTGCTTGAACTTATTTACAAGACTTTTCCTTTTGGATTTATTAAAAAAATTGTTACAGCTTTTTCTAATACAGAAGTTAGTATTACAGAAAGGGTTGGTAGCCAATGATTGGCAGAAAAAAAGAGGGAGAGGAAAAGGAAAGAAAAAAAGAGAGAACACAGAGTTAGAGAATAGCTCTCTATAGGTAGTATTTTTTTAAATTCCTTTCACAAATAAGTCTGAATTAGCATATAAGACAAGAATATAGTCCTTAAAAAGATAATCTCATAAAGCAGGAATATAGTCCTTAAAATGATAATCTCAATTCTATTTTGATATACACTAAAGATTGAATGCTTTTACTATAATAAAGGGATATTATCCCCCTGTTACAAATGAGGAAACTGAAGCACCAAGAAATTAAGCAGCATGCCAGACTGCTGAGTAGACTAAGATTCTAACTAATCAATTATGGCTTATTCCAAATTTCTTTGAATATCAAGTGAGAACTTTAGAAATAACGTCTTTAACTTGGTTTCTAAAGCTGAAAGTGTATATGACTGTAGTCCTTTACTCAAAATGCTTTAAACTTTCAAATACATTATGATTCAATTAATAAAGCCTGGGCACTTACACTCACTATGAAGGTCAGAGCCGGAGATTCCCAACAAAACATTTGAGCAGTAGGCTATTACCTGGCATATGTGTTTTTTCTTTGCTCTGAGCACATAACTGAAAGAGAGTTAATAATAAATCTTCAGATGATGGCATTAGCAAGCATCCTTTTGCTGAGCTGAAATAGTTATAGGCCACATCACAGATAAAAGACACTGATGAGTCACTATTTTCAGCTTCTGATAATTTCTTTGTTTTGAATAAAGTTTCATGAAGTTTAACAATAATTCTTTCAACATATACGTCTCCAATCAAGTAATCTAGAGAAAAAAGGTTCAAACAGACAAAAAAATAAAAATATTAACGTGCACTTTTAAATATCTTACTTTGGGTTAATAATCTTATGGGTGTTTCCATGGATTTTTAAATTGTGTTTATGTATTAGACAAAATTTTAACAAATCAACACAGTCTCTCACATATAAAGGCTCTCAGGTAAAAAGGTAGTTTTAAATTAAGTAGAAAACAGAAACGGCCTACACGATTAGGGTGAGCAACTTTGCTACACTCAAACTCTTTAAGTCATGAGTCAACTTTATATGAGTTAAAAAAAAACCTTTAGGACATAAAACTAAAAATATTAAATATCTTCCAAGTCATGGCATGAAGATTAATAAACATTTGGGGTACTTAGAATATTAAGACAGGTAAATGGACCAGGTACAGCAGCTCAGTGAGCTTGTAATCACAGCACTTTGGGAGGCTAAGGCGGGCAGATCACCTGAGGTCAGGACCAGCCTGGCCAACACAGTGAAACCCCGACTCTACGAAAAATACAAAAATTAGCCAGGCATGGTGGCATGCAACCGTAGTCCCAACTACCTGAAAAGCTGAGGCACAAGAATCACTTGAACCCAGATGCAACGAGCCAAGATCACACCACTACACTCCAGCCTGGATGACGAGCGAGACTCAGTCTCAAAAAAAAAAAAAGATATTTGAATAAGTCTTGTTATTTTCAACCAATAATATGTAAGCTGAGTCCTATGTAATTCCCCACAAGGTGAAATGAATTATTCCCTTACAGAAAAAAAAGTCATATTTTTCCTACCATTTTTAACATGCTGGGATAAGACCAAACTTAGAAGAGTCCATCTTTCTGAGAAGTGAGATTCTGAAGATACTCGAGATTTCAAGTCCTTATTATTACAAAGACGATCTGCTAAGTCGACCAATTTCTCACCAAGGATATCACCTTTTAGCCAAGGAGTTACTAAAGCATGTTTATCTGAACTAGAACAAGCCTAAAACCACAAAATTAAAGCAAAGGTTAACAGCAAGATCAAATACTCTTATCTATCCAAAATATTACTTGTACCCTTCATTATCATGGCTCCAATTTTATCCCCCACTCCTCCTCCTCCTCCTGAAGTTCTAGGAAGTTCTAGGAAGACTGGTATCCTCCCTGTTTCCCACTAAGGCTGGATGATGTTCACTTCCATGCTTTGCTCATGCTACCTTCCCAGCCATGAACATTATTTTTTGTTTTACTTAAAATCCCATCCATTCTTTGAAAATCAATACAAATCCCACCTACTTTATGGAGTCTCCCCATCCACTCCAGCCCACAATGATCACTGCTTTTCTCTGAATTTCTAAAGCACTTACTGGATTATATAATTATTTAAATGTTTCATCTGTGTATATCTTGTCTTTGCAATGAGATTGTAAGTTCCTTGAGAGTAGAGAGTGTCTTAAACTTCTTTGATACCTGCTATCAACACTGTAGATATGTTCAATGAATAATGGATAAACTTTGAAAATAGATTTATAAATGCTCTATAAATAGTAAACTTTTGTTCATTAATTTTGCTAAAATTAAAGAATTAATGTATAATAATGGTAAATTAATTCAATTATGAACAATGGGATTTATCTCCCCAAATTCTCTGATATAGAGTCACTAAGGCCAGGTATCTGACAGCAACTTGTTTATTTTCATGAGGTGGGGAAGAAAAAAAAACTGTTCATCCACCCCCAAAGCATGCTGATCCATGTTCCCAGAGCTTCTTTTGCTTTAAGGGCTGAGAAGAAAGGAATTTGCAACTTGGTTCATTTCAAAGCAATCTGGAAGAAAAAAAAAAAAATCCAAGTGCACATTGGGTAGTGCATGGAAAACTTTATCCTTTTATTTAAAAATTGTAGGTAACCAGAGCTTATATTTTATTCCAAGCTTTAGCACTAAACTAGCCTATGACCTTGGACAAATCTTTTAATCAACATAGGCCTATCTCCTAATTTGAAAATTGAGAAGATTAACTTAGAAAATTTCTAAGGTCCTTTCCTGGTTCCAAAACTCAGATCTGTTTTTTAATTTTTTTTTAAAAGATTGTTTTAAGACCAGCCTGACCAAGCAACATGATGAAACCCTATCTCTACTAAAAATACAAGTCAGCCAGGCATGGTGGCAGGTGCCTGTAATCCCATATACACTGGAGGCTGAGGCGGCAGAATCACTTGAACCCAGGAGGCAGAGTTTGCAGTGAGCCGAGATTGTGCGATTGCACTTCAGCCTGGACAACAGAGTGAGACTCCCTCTCAAAATCAAAAAAGATGATTTTAAGACTCTGTTCAACAAGTATTAAGGTTCTGTAAAACAAGAAAAACTACTTTAGAGTTTAGATGGCAATGATGCCGGCTTTCCCAGTGTAGTTTGCCAAGTAAAACCAATCTATTCTGCAGAATCCCGGTAAACAAACTTCTGAATAAAATACCTCTCCAATTAGCAAGGTTAGAAGTTCAACTTAATGTACAGGCATACCTCATTTTATTGGGCTTCCTTTTATTGTGCTTTGCAAATGTTTCAATTTTAAAAATTGAGTATTTGTGGCAACCCTGCATTGAGAAAGTTGATTGGCACGATTTTACAACAATACATGCTCATTTTGTGTCTCTGTGTCACATTTTGGTAATTCTCACAATATTTCAAACTTTTTCATTAATATATCTGTTAGGGTGATCTGCAATCAGTGATCTTTGATGTTACGATTTTAATGTCTGAGGGCGCTACAAACCATTGCCATGTAAGAGTGCAAACAAGAAATACTGTGTGTGTCTGGGTGTGTGTTCTGACTGCCCCACTGACCAACCATTCCCTAATATTTCTTCTCTGGCTTTGGGCTTCCTTATTCCTTTAGACACAACAATGCTGAAATTGGGCCAATTAATAACACTACAATGGCCTCTAAATGTTCAAGTGGAAGAAAAGTCACACATCTCTCACTTTAAATCAAAAGCTAGAAATGATGAAGCTTAGCAAGGAAGGCATGTTGAAAGCCAAGAGAGGTAGAAAGCTAAGCCCTCTTGAGCCAAACAGCCAAGTTGTGAATACAAAGGAAAAGTTCATGAAGGAAATTAAATGTGCTACTCCTGGGCCGGGCGCCATGGCTCACGCCTGTAATCCCAGCACTTTGGGAAGCTGAGGCGGGTGGATCACGAGGTCAAGAGATTGAGACCATCCTGGTCAACATGGTGAAACCCCGTCTCTACTAAAAATACTGGGCATGGTGGCAAGTGCCTGTAATGCCAGCTACTCAGGAGGCTGAGGCAGGAGAATTGCTTGAACCCAGGAGGCAGAGGTTGAGGTGAGCCAAGATCGCACCATTGCACTCCAGCCTGGGTAACAACAGCGAAACTCGGTCTCAAAAATAAAATAAAATAAATGTGCTACTCCTGTGAGGCCAGGAGTAACAGTAGCACAGACTTACTGCTGATATACACAAAGTTTTAGTGGCCTAGACAGAAGATCAAACAGCCACAACGTTCCCTTAAGCCAAAACTTAATTCAGAGCAAGACCCTAATTCTCTTCAATTCTATGAAGGCTGAGAGTTGAGGAAGCTAAACAAGAAAAGTCTGATGCTAGCAAAGGGTGGTGTATAAGGTTTAAGATACCATCTCCACAATTCAAAAGTACAAGGTGAAGCAGCAACCACCGAAACAGAAGCTGCAGCATGTTATACAGAAGATCTAGCTCAGATCAATAATGAACGTGGCTACACTAAACAGATTTTCACAGGAGATTAAACAGTCATATGTTAGAAAAAGATGCCATCTAAGACTCTCATAGTTAGCAAGAAGTCAATGTCTGGCTTCCAAGTTTCAAAGGACAACCTGATTCTGGTTAGGGGCTAATCACTTTAAGTTGAAGCCAATGCTCATTTCTCATTAAAAAAAATCCTAGGGCTCTTAAGCTTAGCTAAATCTATTTTGCCTGTGCTCTAAGTGGAATAACAAAGACGAAATTACAGCACATGTTTATAGCATGGTTTATTGAATATCTTAAGCCCACTGTTGGAAAAATGAAGGAAAAAACATTCCTTTCAAAATAGTACTGCTCATTGACAATGAACCTGGGTAACCCAAGACCTCCGATGGAGATCTAGATGGAGATGTATAAGGAAATTAATGTTGTTCTCATGCCTGCTAACCCAACATCCATTCTGCAGTCCATGAATCAAAGAGTAATTTCTACTTTAAAGTCTTATTATTTAAAGAAATATATTTCATTAAGCTATAGCAGCCATAGACAGTGATTCCTCTAATGGATCTGGGCAAAGTCCACTGAAAACCTTCTGGAAAGGCCACGCATGGTGGCTCACGTCTGTAATCCCAGCACTTTGGGAGACCAAGGTGGGTGGTTCACAAGGTCAGGAGATAAAGACCACCCTGGCCAACATGGTGAAACTCCATCTCTACAAAAGACAAACAAAAAACCCTCCTGGAAAAAACTCACCGCCATTAAGACATTCAAGAACCATGGGAAAAGGCGAAGTCACATTAATAGGAGTTGGGAAGAAGTTGATTCCAACCCTCATGGATGACGTTGAGAGGTTCAAGACTTTAGTGTAGGAAGTAACTGCAGATATGGAGGAAAGAGGCAAAGAACTAAAATGATGCATGAAGCCTGAAAATGTGACTGAAATGCTGCAATCCCATAATAAAATGTGGATGGATGAGGAGTTACTTCTTAAGAAAGTGGTTTCTTGAGATGGAATCTACTTCTGGTGAAATGCTGTGAACACGCTGACATGATCACAAAGGATTTAAAGAATATTACATAAACTTAGATGAAACAGCAGTGGCAGGGTTTGAAAGAATTGACTCCAATTCTGAAAGAGGTTGTTCTGTGGGTAAAATGCTATCAAACAGCACTGCATGCTAAAGAGAAATCTATCATGAAAGGAAGAGTTAATCAGTGCAGCAAACTGCACAAGAAACTGCCACAGCCACTCCAGCCTTCAGTAACCACCACCCTGATCAGTCAGCAGCCAGGATCGAGGCAAGATTCTCCATCAGCAAAATGATTACAACTCGCTGAAGGCTCAGATGATCATTAGCACTGTTTAGCAATAAAATAATTTTAAAATATGTACATTGGTTTTTACATACAATGTTATTGCACACTTAATATAGTGTAAACAGAACTTTTATATGCACTGGCAATCCAAAAAAATTGTGTGACTTGCTTTATTACCATGGTTTGGAACTGAACTTATGATATCTCTGAGGTATGCCTGTATGAACATTTCTTTTTTTTTTTTTTTTTTTGAGATGGAGTTTCACTCTTGTTACCCAGGCTGGAGTGTGCAATGGCGCGATCTCGGCTCACCGCAACCTCCGCCTCCTGGGTTCAGGCAATTCTCCTGCCTCAGCCTCCTGAGTAGCTGGGATTACAGGCACGCGCCACCATGCCCAGCTAATTTTTTGTATTTTTAGTAGAGACGGGGTTTCACCATGTTGACCAGGATGGTCTCGATCTCTTGACCTCATGATTCACCCGCCTCGGCCTCCCAAAGTGCTGGGATTACAAGCTTGAGCCACTGCGCCCGGCCCTGTATGAACATTTCTAATGAAAGAAGCTGCCTAGCTTTAAGGAGATGAGGAGGCTAGTGAGTCATGGAAGCACAGGCAGCAAACACTGGCTAGGAAGTTTCAATCACAGCTCAGGAAAAGGATATTCTTCTACACCGGTGTGAGTATTTGCATTTCATGACAGGTATATTCCTAAGTTGGAAATGGATACATTAGTCCACTCTTATCAAAGTATTTACATCCCCTGCTCTGATTCAAGATTTATCAAGGAGCTTTCTGATAATTCTGTAACTTGGCTACAGGGAGAGAAGGCACTGGATAAAATAATGTGAACAGTGTACCTGTGTCATATTCCTCACTGAAAAATAAATATTCTGTATTTATTTTGTAAAAATTAAACTATGGGGAAAATGAGGGGTTACTGTTTAATGGACACAGGGTTTCAGTTTGGCAAGATGAATTAAGTTATGGAAACTGCACCACAATGTAAATATACTTGATACTACCGAACTGTACATTTAGAAATGGTTAAGATGGTAAATGTCATGCTATTTGTTTACTACAATTTTCTTACTAAATAATAGAAAAAACTTGCAAATTCAAGAGTTAGCTATGAAAACAGAAAAATAATTTGAAAATGCCTTAAAAAGGAGTAAGAATTTTAGGTAACTAGTCATAACAACACTTATATAGTTGAAAAAGTGTTAGTTAAAACATTTACATCCTCATTAGGAAAGAACACAAGTTGTTTTGTGAAAACTTGTAAATTGTTTTCATTATTTGATTTCTTTTCATTATTCTTCCCAATAATTTTCTTAGTCAGTGACAATCACAAAAAGACTGGAAGATTTTTATTCACCTAGTGTTCCCAAGTAGAGAAAACTTAATTTCCTGATGTGTTCTAGCCAAAGCTAGAACCACACCAATCCATTTCCACAGCAGAAAAAGCAACTAAGAGCAGAAAGGTGTAGCCTTAATTAAAAGATAATAAAATGTTTTAATCTGCCTTTGTTACCCTCTAGGAAAGAAAGAAATGATTTTCCATAGCCTGTTCCTTTTTCCCTAATATTACTAATCAGAAAAATACTACTACAGAAAAGGAAAAGAACAAATATCTTCCCACATTAGAGGAAGAAAGTCACAATAACAAGGAGGTTCTCTAACACAGAACCTGACTGCCTGACCATATTTATTGTATGAATAAGACTATGATTTTAATATTTCTATTCCCATAAATATTTAAAAAAAGAAAAATCCCTAAGATACCTTTTCAATAATCTTAAGAAGAGAATTCCACTTCAGGTCCACCTGAAAAAAGAAAAAGAGTTAGAAACAATCTGCTAGAAAAACTTTTTGTTTGAGACGTGGTTTTGCTATGTTGCCCAGGCTAGTCTAGAACTCCTGGGCTCAAGCCATCCTCTCACCTCAACTTCCCGAGTAGGTAGGATGACTACATGCATGCACCAACATGTCCACCTAAAACTTTTAAAAAGTAAATGAAGGCTGGGCGCAGTGGCTCACGCCTATAATGCCAGCACTTTGGGAAGTCAAGGCAGGCGAATCATGAGTTCAGGAGATAGAGATCATCTGCCAACATGGTGAAACCCTGTCTCTACTAAAATACAGAAAACTAGCAGGCATAGTATTCCACTTCTATAGTCACAGCTACTTGGGAGGCTGAAGCAGGAGAATTGCTTGAACTCAGGAGGTAGAGGTTGCAATGAGCTGAGATCAAGCCACTGCACTCTAGCCTGGGTGACAGAGGAAGACTCCGTATCAAAAAAAAAAAAAAGTAAATGAAGTGCCCATGTAACCAATACAAAACTAAAACATTCTTATCCAACTTTTTAAATGTATGGATTAGAAGAATTCACCTTTTAATTACCAAGTATCTATCACCCCGGTACTGCTGAACATCTACTCAGCAGCCTTAGATACTTCCCAAATCATGATCAAGAATATATTGCTTATCACCAAATTGACAATCACAGTGAAGAAACAACCAGAAAACAATACGCAGGCTCATTCTACTCATCTATTATTGAAATAGCTTAAAAAGATATACAAGAGGAATACCTTGGTTAGATCATCCAAGACTTTTTTTCTTTCCATATCATTGTCACAGCACCTGAGAGCACTGTACAAAATGTCCACCAGGAAACCAGAATCCTTCCTTTGATCTTCATTTAGCCAACCTATCAGTTTCTGGTATAAAAACTGCACCGCAGGATTTTTTTGTGCAAGCTTGGCTATTTCAGGAGGTTTGGCTTGGCCAATACTCTGTTTTTCATCACCAAGTAGCATTTTAAATACTTGGCTTGAAGAAAAGGAGTCAAGCAGAGTAGAAAGAAACCTCAGATGTTGCTCTGACTTTTGTTCATTGACATAATTAATGCTCATCTCTGCCAGTTTACAGACTAAGACTTCCAAAGGTTTTTTCCTTAGAGGAGATAAAAAGTCTTCAGACTTTGAGTCTTCAGAATTATGAGTGAGAGAAGGTTCAGTTGATAATTCCCAGCCTTCAATGTTCTCTCCTTCTGAAGATACACATTTTTCACTCCCTTTATTACTTTCAGGTGTCTCATCAGCAAATCTAACCTTACCATTTTTTTTCTTATTTGACTTCAATGAGCTCTCTGGCTTCTGAAGCACCTGTAATAGGTTAGATACACCCAAAACGGACTCAGCATTAGCTTCTGGCTCATTGATTTTTGCGATACAGATCTCTGACAGTCTTTCCCAGAAATGTATCAGTACATTCTCCAAGTTGTGAGCTGTTTTTTCATCTTTTTCCGTGTCTGCTTTGGCTTCCCAGGAACTTAAAGTTTCTGCTAAATGGTTAAATAGCTGCCCATGTTGCAACCTTGGGTCTTTGAGAACTGCATCAATAAAAGGGATCAACTGAAAGAAAAGGTATAATATAAAATACACATTTGGTCTTCAACCCCCATCCCCTGGCACACAACTCTAAAATCCCTGGAATCTCCAAAGTGATAACATTTTGTAAGCGAATGGGTTGATTGGTGGCTGGAAGCACCTATATGGCAGGATGGGAACCTGTCATCAGAAAGATCAAGGCAGGATTAAAGGGCTAGAACTTTCCATATCACCCCAACCTCCAGGGATACAGAGGCAGCTGAAGGTTAAGCTGATCACCAGTGGCAATTACTTAATCATTTATGCCTAGTAATGAAACCTCCATAAAAATGCAAAAAAGACAGCATTCAGGGAGCTTCCAGATAACTGAACATGGGGAGGTTCCTGGAGGGTAGCACACCCAGGGAGGGCATGGAAGTTCTTCGACCCCTCCCATATCTCACCCTATGCATTTCTTCATCTGTATCCTTTGTAATATCATTTATAATAAACTGGTAAATTGTTTTTCTGAGTTCTGTGAGCCACTCTAGCAAATTAAGCAAACCCCAGGAGGGGCCATGGGATCCCTGATTCATAGCTGGTTGGTCAGAAGCCCAGGTAAAATAGCCTGGGGCTTAAGATTGGCATCAGAAGTGACGACCAGTCTTGCGGGACTAAGTCCTAAACCAGTGAGATCTGACACCATCTCCAGGTAGATCGTCAGAACTCAATTAGAGAACACATAGCTGGTGTCTGCTACAGAACTGACTGCTTGCTTGGTGGGGAAAAATCCCCACATACTTGGTCACAGAACTCTTCTGTGTTGATTACTATAGTGTCAAAGTAAAGGAAAAACTGCTTTTTCCATTCACAGAAGGTAAAAAATATAAAAGTTCAATTTTCTTTCAACAAAAATAAAATTTAAACAAAGTATTTGTAAAACACTATAAAATTTCATATTTAACAACTGAAAAACATAAATTTTCCCCTAGAATTATGAAAAAAGCTACCTTGATCACTTTCATATCATATACGAGCTTAATTATTTCACCTGAATTATTCCTTTTTCATGATATAACTGACTGGGATTCTTGGTCATTAACAATCCAGTTTTCTTTGCATCTTCTGGACTTGAGTGTTTTGCTTTTCTGCCTTAATTATAGGCAAATCTAAGATATGAGACTACAAGCCAATATTAAAGATACCTAGGACCCACAAGAGTGCAGAGTCCTATTTCCTAAATTACAAAACTAAGGGAAGTTAACTGAGACATCCTAGAATGTGGGCTTCTGTAATCTCACTAAGTTCCTACCGTAAAGAACCATATTCCATAACCTTCTCTTATCTCTGGTTCTAAAAGCGAACCCAAACTTTCACAAAGCATAATTTGAGTATTTTAGAATTAACAGATGATTATTTCATGATTTAAACTTACTATAAAAGATCACAAATAGCATCTTCAAAATTCTGTTTTGCATTACATCTTTCTAAAACAGGGGTTTTACAGGCCAGGTGCAGTGGCTCACGCCTGTAATCCCAGCACTTTGGGAGTCGAAGCAGGTGAATCACCTGAGGTCAGGAGTTCACAACTAGCCTGATCAACATGGTGAAACCCTGTCTCTACTAAAAATACAAAAATTAGCTGGGCATGGTGTGGGCACCTGTAATCCCAGCTACTTGGGAGGCTGAGGCAGGAGAATCACTTGAACCCAGGAGGCAAAGGTTGCACCATTGCACTCCAGCCTGGGCAACAAGAAGTGAAACTCTGTCTCAAAAAACAAACAAAAAAGAAACAGGGTTTATACATCCAGACACTGATCAGTTTCTTAGGTATCACACCATGCTACCAACTGACAGCAGAAATACACATTACTCAATTGGCAAATTATAAAAATAAAATTTTTACAAGGAAGGCTTATTACTGAAAATGGCAACAAGACACATGAGCTTGATCCTATATAATCAGTATGCAAAGACACTGACGACTTTTACATTACAGATACCTGATCATTGACGAGCATCTGTTCAATCTCTTCCTCACCTAAGTTTTGCTGCATTATAAAACGTAAGCATTCAAAAAAAGCAGATATTACTGCCGAGGACTCTGAAGAGCTGGTTTTAGTTTTCTCTGTGGATAGCCTAAGAAATAATTAATAACTGGATTACTCTTTCATGAAGAAGAAAATAAGAACTCAGAATTATCAAAATAAAGATCTCAAATGGGTATCAATCAGAAGAAAAATTTTTAAAGCAGTTTCTTAAACTACAAATTAAATACCAATAAAAATACGTATAGCCCAATGAGAATATGAACTTAAAAAACTTTGAAAAAATATTTCAAAAAACATATCAGCAAAAAGTAAAAGAATATTTCCTTTAGCTTCTTCTTTTTTAGAGATAGGGTCTGCTATCTTGACCAGGCTGGTCTTGAATTCCTGACCTCAAACAATCCTCCCACCTTAGCTTTGGCCTGTGCTAGGATTACAGCTGTGAGCCACCATGCCCAGCCGAGATATTACTTTTCTATTCATGGACCAATCCACTGCAATTTCAAGATAACATTAACCAAATAAAGATAATGGTGTAGTAAAAAAAAAATCTGCAATCATTAACAAAACGGTGTATATTCTAAGTTCATCAAATGTACTGAAATCGTTTTTTAAAGTGTGAATTTAAACACCTATAGTAGTTAAATTTGTGGACGTTATAAAAATTTCACTGGCAAAGTTACTGCATTTAGGCATTTGTATTTATCAACATGAAAAATAAAACAGTTACATGTCTCTGTAGCACAACTGGTTAGCACATTCTGCTGTTAAAAAATGGCTAATTTAAAATATAGCCTAGGTGACCTATTTCCAACTAGGAGCTTTACCTTATTTATCTAACTTTCCGCTGTGTTCTACCACTGAAGCCTTGAATATACTCAAGAAAAAAATACCAATTGTAATTCTCTTTTGAAAAAAATACCAAATGTAATTCATTAAGTAATTAAAAGTACTTAATGAATAGTAAAACAAGCTGGAGAAATTTAAGAAATAAAATAATGAGTATAAAAACAAGAAAACCTGTTTTGCTTTAAAAATCAAAAATTTAAATTTCTTACCCAGCAACTACAGATGTGAGGAAATTTTTGAAGAAATCCAACTTTGGATCTGTGATGGACTGAGGGAGTTTGCTGATGAATGGCAGAAGGTAAGGATATATGACAGTAGCTAGACCCCGACCACCTTCACGAATAACAGTTGACAGCTTGGGAAACACACTCTTTTTTGCATTTACATGAAGCCAACAGTCCTAACCAAAGAAAAGATCATAGTAGTAATTAGAGATCATAAACACACTTTTCCCAATTAAAAGAGAAAACATATAGGCTCTCAAAAAGAAAAACAGTATTTTACCTAAAAAAAAAAAAGCTAAAATCTTAAGGTGAAGATTTAAAAAAAAAAAGCTAAAATCTCTCACCACCATTAAAAACTAAGACTGAAATTATAAACGTAGTTACATATAATGATCATATATTCGACATACTTACAGGACATTATTGATTAGAAATAATTATTTAACTTCTATTTCTAAAAAAGCTGCTTTCTAAAAGGGACAATTATATTTCAATCTTAATTATATTTCATCTTAAATATAAAATTCAGATATGGTGACTGCACTAGGCCACATAAGGTTTAAAGAATAATACTGGCTAAACAAAATAAAATAAAAACTCTATGCCATTTTAGTCAGTTGAAGATTTATGCCAAGTTTATTTTATTTTCAAGAAAGCATTTTTCCAATAAATTTTAGATATTCTTATCTCACAGGCTGTCAAACGATACCTAAGGGTTCTAAAATACAATTAAAAGACAACTATTCCTCAGTGTACTAAATGTGCCTTTCTTACCTACCTGAATAGTTGTAAGTGTATAGAGTACAGCTTCCCAGAGAGCAGGGCAGACAATTGGGTCACTGTCATCAATGCTAAGTAGAACTGATGGGCTCACTTTGGATGCTTCTTCTTTCATCAACTGTGGAATGCGCTGGCACAATGCAGAAACTAACTCAAAATAAGCCGAGCGGATCTAAAAGAATGCAAAGCTGAATTAAATTAAAACCTAGTAAAACAATAAGATTTGTAATTTATGGTAATAGATTATTCACACTAACCCTCCCACTAAGAAAACTAAAATAGCTAAAAAAAAATACTTTTTAAAATCTTAAAAGAGTATGAAATGGCTGAAAAGGCATAAGGAATTACCAAGGCAAAAGTGAAGGCTGAAAGAATTAATTCAACTTTCTTTTTCTTTGACTGAAGCAAACACAAATCCTCTTTAGTAGCAGAAGCCTTCATTTGGGGCCTCCAATATAGCCAAACAAACAGAAAACAAGACACCATGAGCCACAATCAGCAGAAATAAAAGATCTGAGACTTTAAATCTTAGAATGATCAGTCACTAATTCTATAATACAATGTTTATTATATTTAAAGGAACAAAAGTTTTTTAAAACTTGTAGGAAAAAAGGATCCTGGAGTAGGATCCTCTTTTCAGAGTAGATCTGAAAAGATCAAGCACAATTACTAAACTAAGAATAATTAAAATTTAAAGCTCAACTCATAGTTTAAGAACAGTGCAAGGGTCTGAATGTCTCCCTCCAAAATTAATTTGCTGAAACTTAATCACCAGTGTGATAGTATTAAGAAGTGAGAACTTTAGGAGATGATTAGGTCTTGAGGGCACTACCCTCAAGAATGGGATTAGAGTGCCCTTATAAAAGGGTGTGAAAGACCACATTTACTCCTTCTGCCACATGGGGACACAACAAAAAGGAGACACCTTTGAAACAGAGAAAGCAACCCTCACCAGACACTTAATCTGATGGCACCTTGATCTTGGAATTTCCAGCCTATAGAACCATGAGAAATAAGTTTCTATTGTTTACAAATTACTCAGTCTAAGGTACAGTTCAGCCCTTGGTACCTGCAGGGAATTAGTTCCAGGACACTCCACCTTCCTACCTCCACACATGTACTAAATGCCCATGAATTACATAAAATGGCATAATACAGTCGGCCCTTCATAGCCACAGGTTCATCTATAGTTGATTGAATCCACATATGTAGAACCTGCAGATATGGAGAGCTGACTGTATTTTGTTAAAGTAGCCTCAATGGCCTAAGACAGCAGATTAGATAGAAATAAGAGAATCAGTGAATTAGAAGACTGAGCAAAGAAATTATCCACAAAGCAGCACAGAGAGACAAAAACACAAAAACAACAAAGGAAAGCAAAACTGACGTAGAGGATACAGTATCTATTTCAATATCTATTTCATAAGAATCCCAAAACAAGAATGAGGCAAAGGAAACACCTATAAATAATAGCTGAGAATTTTGCAGAGCCAATGAAATACATCAAGTCAAAGATTTAAAAGCCCAACAAATCCCAAGCAGGATACATAAGGGAAATCCACACCAAAACACATTATGGTGCAACTGGAAAAACACATGGAAAAAATCTTAAAAGTAGCCCAAGGAGAAAGATAAACTACCTTTAAAAGAAGGATAATCAGACTGATAGTTGACTTTGACAGCAATAATTTATTTATTTATTTTTAAATTATTTTTTTAATTGCATTTTAGGTTTTGGGGTACATGTGAAGAATATGCAAGATTGTTGCATAGGTACACACGTGGCAGTGTGATTTGCTGCCTACCTCCCCATCACCTATATCTGGCATTTCTCCCCATGCTATCTCTCCCCAACTCCCCACACCCCGCTGTCCCTCCTCATTTCCCCCAACAGACCCCAGTGTGTAGTGGACAGCAATAATTTAAATCAGAAGACATGGAACAGTATTTCCAACACAAAAATAAATACCAACATACAATCCCATACTCAGCAAATGTCTTTCAAGAATGAGGGTGGCAAAAAAAATTATGAGAACAAAATAAAAACACCTGTGACACAAGCAACAAATACATAGGCAAATCTAAACAAAGATTGAGAGTATAATATTTTGTGAGATTTAAAAATATACACATATTTAACACCACAAAATACATATATTTTATTTAAGTGAGTAGTTTTAAGAGATGACATTTATAAAGACAGCAAGTTCTAGCTATGCTGAAAAACTCTGATCATATATACATCAGAAAAATCGAGAAAATTTTGATTTGCTTTGACATCAAGCATTCATTCATGATGGAAACAAAAACCATAAAGACTGAGGAGATTATAAAACATTATTTTATGATGGAAAAGACCTAAGATAACCAAAAGAATTTCGAAAAAGAACAAAGTTGGAAGTTCTCAACACAGTATAAAACATTAATAATCAAGAGTATGGTATTGGGTGTAAGGATAGACATACAGATCAATGGAGCTGAACAGAGTCTAAAATTAAAGTTGTACACATACAGTCAAGTGACTTCTGACAAAGTTGTCAGAATAAGGATGGGATATTCTTTCAGAAACTAAATATAACATAACCAAAAAATCAATTTTGACTCTCACCTTCAATTTATATGCAAAAATAAACTCTAAATGCACTACATGGAGCTAAAGTATAAACTTCTAAAATAAAATATAGAAAATCTTTGCAAACTTAGGCAAAGATTTCTTAGATAAGACATCAATCTAGTAACTGGCCACTGAAGTAATAAAAATAAAAAATAGTGCATCAAAAGCACAACCATAAAAGAAAATGATCAATTAGCCTTTATCAAAATTAAAGTATCTACTCTTCAAAAACACTAATGAAATGAAAAGGCATGCCACATATTGGAAGAAACCATTCACATACTTTTATCTGACAAAATACTTCTACTCAGGATAAATACAGCATACTTGCAACACAAAAATAACCAAACTGCAATTTTTAAAACCATAAAACATGGATGAGTGAGAGCCGAATATACCAATCCTCCTAAAAGATCAGGTATAGGCTCTGTGGATAAAACACAAAAAAACAACTACCTGAAAGCTCTGGAGACTGAAATACATATGCATTTTAGAGGAGAATCAAACTGGGAATAAGTGATCCATGTAGATTGGATCCCAATTTTTGCAGCTCTTCCCAAACATGGCTGTGGTCACCATCACAAAGGCAAAGGACCAGCTACAACTTCAGTAGGAAGACTGACTTCTTTCTGGCCAAAGGAAATAGAAGAACCAGGAAAGAAGGCCAGGATCACATGGGATGATGCAGGAGAGTGAGAGGGGACTCTAGGAAGGAGAGGGCCACAGAAAGAAACCCCTATATTCTGTATTTGAACAGCCTAATCTACAACCCATCTCTGAATCATGCATGTGCACTCCGCCATGCCCAGCTAATTTTTAAAAATTTTTTAGAGATGCTGGGCATGATGGCTCATGCCTGTAATCCCAGCACTTTGGGAGGCTGAGGCAAGTGGATCACCTGAGGTCTGGAGTTCAAGAGCAGCCTGACAAATATGATGAAACCCAATCTTTTTAAAAAATTTAAATTTCTTAGAGATATGAGTCTAACTATGTTGTGCAGGCTGGTCTTGAACTCCTGGCCTCAAGTAAAGTAGAAGCAGCTTAAAGCTAAAACAAGAAATGAACTGAGAACTAAGGCATTTCCCACCACAGGCATAATGGTTTAGTATGGGTCTAATCAAGTTAACTGCCAGCTAACAAAAATAATACCTTTTGGATAAAAATAGAATAATCCAGTCTCCAAAACATAACATTCAGAATGTCAACTATATAATCTTAAATTATTCAACATACCAATAGCCAGAAAAATGTGGTCTCATCTTAAGAGATAAGACAGTTAACTGATAGCAACTCCAAGATGACCCGGATATTATCAGACATGGATTTTAAAAAGCTATTAAAACTATACTCAGTAAGGTAAAGGAAAATATGATGAGGATGAAAAAAAACAGACAATTTCATCAAAGAAATAGAAAATATAAAAAACCAAGCAGAAGTTCTAGGAGTAATCGTTTCTCGGCCTTTTGGCTAAGACCAAGTGTAAAAGTTCTAGGAATAAAAAATATATGAATTAAAAAATAAGCAAAAAATTAGAACAGACGCCTCCAAAAAGAAGATATAGAAACGGCCCACAAACACATTAAAAGATGTTCAACGTCATTAGTCATCAGGGAAATGTAAATTAACATCTCAATGAGAAACCTCCATTCCAGAGGTCAGTAAACATCTTCTATAAAGGGACGGAGAGTAAATATATTAAGGTTTGCGGGAGAAGTAGTCTTTGTTGCAACCACTTAGCTCTGATTTGTAGCAGTAAAGGCAGTAAAGTAACTACAGATAATACATAAAACTATTTACAAAAATAGATGTTTCCCTCGTGTCCATGGGGATGGGAAAAAAAAAACAAAAACCCAGATGTGCCAGATTTGACACGTGAGCTATTGCAATCCCTGATCTCATACCCAGGAGAATGACCTAAATTAAAACTGCTGACAATATGAAACATGAGGATATGGAGCAATTAAAAAATGTCACACATTCCTGGTAAGAGTACTACAACTTTAGAAAACATCTTGGTAGCTTCCTAAAGAGATTTACTTACCATATGACACATCAATTCCTCTCCTTAAGAAAGACAAAAACATATGTTCACACAAAAACTATATTAAACAATAAAATGAACTACGGTTACATGCAACAACACAAATAAATCTTAAAACATTACACTAAGCAAAAGAAGCTAGATACAAAGTAATGTCTAGCTCCATTTATATGAAAGCACAGAAAAGACAAATCTAATCTGTAGTGATGAAAGGCAAATCAATGACTGCCTGGGGTAAAGGTGGACGATGACTTGGAAGGACAAAAGGAAAACATTCTGGGTAAAAAAAAAAAAAATGTTCTATTTCTTTATTGTAGTGGTTATATGGGTATATATATCTGTCAAAAATTAAACTGTAAAAATGGCCGCATTTTACAGGACTGTGTGCAAATTATACTTCAATAAGTTAATTTTTTAGAATTATTGTAGATTTTTTTTTTTTTTTTTGAGATGGAGTTTCGCTGTTGTTACCCAGGCTGGAGTGCAATGGCGTGATCATGGCTCCCCGCAGCCTCTGCTTCCTGGGTTCAAGCAATTCTGGTACTTTAGCCTCCTGAGTAGCTGGGATTACAGGCGCGTGCCACCATGCCCTGCTAATTTTTGTATTTTTAGTAGAGACAGGGTTTCACCTCGTTGACCAGGATGATCTCAATCTCTTGACCTCGTGATCCGCCCACCTCAGCCTCCCAAAGTGCTGGGATTTATAGGCGTGAGCCACCACGCCCCGCCCTATTGTAGAATATTTTAAAGTACCCAAATTAATGAGAGAGGGCGGGCATGGTGGCTCACACCTGTATTCCTAGCACTTTGAGAGGCCAAGGCAGATGGACCATTTGAGGTCAGGAGTTTGAAACCAGCTTGGCCAACATGGTGAGAAATTGTCTCTACTAAAAATATATAAATTAGCTGGGCATGGTAGCATATGTAATTCCAGCTACTCAAGAGGATGAAGCAGGAGAATCACTTGAACCCAGGAGGCAGAGGTTGCAGTGAGCCGAGATCACACCACAACACTCCACCATGGGTGACAGAGTGAGATTCCATCTCAAAAAAAAAAAAATTTGAGAGATGAGAACTCCATGGATAGAAGATTCAATAACATAAAGAAAGCAAGTCTCTCCATATTGGTCTATAAATTGAGCACAACCCCAATTAAAATTCTACTTAGAGTTTGAGAAATTCAATAAATGTACTGGAATTTGTTTTTTTGAGGCAGGGTCTCACTCTATTGCCTAGGCTGAAGTACAGTGGCAGTGCAATCATAGTTCACTGCAGCCTCAATCTCCCAGGCTCAGATGATCCTCTGAGCACAACTTCCCAAGTACCTACGACTACTAGCACTCCCCACTAGCACTCCCCACTGTGTCCAGCTAATTTTTTAATATTTTTCAGATGGGGTCTAACTATGTTGTGAAGGCTGGTCTCAAACTCCTGGCCTCAAATAATCCTCCTGCCTTGGCCTCCCAAAGGTCTGGAATTACAGGTGTGAGCCACCACACCCAGCCCAAATTTACTGAAATTTTTATGAAAGAATAAAGTGCTGGCCAGGGGGGAAAAAAAAAAAAAAAAAAGAATTTAATGTCTTGTAATTTAGTGGCTTACGCCTATAATCCCAGCACTTTGAGAGGCCAAGGCAGGTGGATCACCTATGGTCAGGAGTTTGAGACCAGCCTGGCCAACATGATTAAGCTCTGTTTCTACTAAAAATACATAAATTATCTTGGCATGGAGGCAGGTGCCTGTAATCCCAGCTATTTGGGAGGCTGAAGCAGGAGAATGGCTTGAACCCAGGACACAGATGTTGCAGTGAGTCCAGACTGTGCCACTACACTCCAGCCTGAGTGACAGAGCAAATCTCTGTCTCAAAAAAAACAGCCTAGCCAAGATGATTTCATCTCTACTAAAAATACAAAAATTAGCCGGGTGTGGTGGCGGGCACCTGCAATCCCAGCTACTCAGGAGGCTGAGGCAGGTGAATCACTTGAATGCAGGAGGCAGAGGGTGCAGTGAGCTGAGATCATGCCATGGCACTCCAGCCTGGTAGACAGAGTGAGACTGCCTTAAAAAAATAAAAATAAAAAAACATATCATAATGTCTTACTGACAATGGCACTGGTACAAGAAGAAACAGAGACCAATGCATCAGAACATAGGTTAGAGGCAAATTTATGATTGTATGATTTTTTTTTTTTTTTTTTTTTTTTTTGTGAAAGGGTCCCGCCCCCAGGCTGGAGTGCAGTGGCACAACCACGGCTTGCTGGAGCCTCAACTTCCTGGGATTAAGCAATCCTTCCGCCACAGCCTCCAAGTAGCTGGGACAATAGGGGTGTGCCGCTACACCCGGCTAATTTTTTTATTTTTATTTTTTGTAGAGACAGGGTCTTGCCATGTTATCCAGGCTGATTTGGAACTCCTGGGCTCAAGTGACCCACCTGCCTTGGTCTCCCAAAGTTCTGGAATTACTGGCATGAGCCACTGTGTCCCACAATATATAAGAATTTAGGCTGGGCGTGGTGGCTCATACCTATAATCCCAGCACTTTGGGAGGCCAAGGTGGGTGGATCACGAGGTCAAGAGATCGAGACCATCCTGGTCAACAAGGTGAAACCCCGTCTCTACTAAAAATACAAAAATTAGCTGGGCATGGTGGTGCGCGCCTATAGTCCTAGCTATTCGGGAGGTTTAGGCAGGAGAATAGCTTGAACCCAGGAGGCGGAGGTTGCAGTGAGCAGAGATCGTGCCATTGCACTCCAGTCTGGGTAACAAGAGCAAAACTCCGTCTCAAAAAAAAAAAAGAATTTAATGTCTTGTAATGACAAGATGACAGATCAGTTTACTAGGTAATGTTAGGAAAATTGACTCACCATATATGTAGAAAAATGTAACAAGATCCATACTTAACACCAAATGAAAAGGTAGATTATTGATTAAAGATTTTATATGAAAGTTAAAATTGCATATAAAACCTACAACTATAAAGCTAAAAAATTTAAAAATATAAGAATATCTGTATGATTCAAATATAAGAATGGCCTTCATAAGGCAGAAAACAGTGACTCTGATCACATCAAAATTAATATTTCTTTCTGACATAAGACACATGGGAGAGATGACAGAATGGGAGCTTTTTTGCATTGCCTAAAATGACAAAAGATACTCTGTCACGAGACTAGAATTTTTTAAAAAGACAAAAAGACTAATATTTAGATTACAGAAGAAAGTCTTACATAAAAGAACTCCAATAGAAAAAAAAAAGGAAAAATTAACAAGAAGAAACACAAAAATGAATAGATGCTAAAAATGCTTGAAGAGACGCTATGAAGAGTTGCTAAAAAATCACCAATAAAGAAGGTAATTCAAGTTAAAGAGAGATATCACCTGAATTCCTATTAGGCTGATCAAAAATGAAGCAGCAAATGCTGCATAGTGATGGCTAGAACATAAGGTAATGCAGTGTAAGAGTCACCGTGTATTAATGGTTGAGTCTAGAGTGATGCAGCCATTCAGGAGAGCAATCTGGCGCTATTTCAGGAAATTAGGTATGCACACCCTCTACTGACTCCGAAATTCAGATAATTTCACATGAATGAAGATGTTCATTGCTGCATTACTTGTGAAGGCAAGGAGTTGGAAGCAATCAGGATCTATCACTGGAGGAATGGGCAGGTTAAATGGATAGGTATGTGCAAACTTCTGAATACTACAAGGCAGGCAGAAGTCATAGATCAGATGTACATATAGAAAAATGAGAGATCTTTTTTTAAAGCAATAAATAAAAAGTAATAAATGCAATAAAATATAACACAGTACCATTTATGTGAATTAAAAACGCAAGCACAAACTAAAGCACATTTTACAAAAATACAGTCAATCCTCACAAATCCCGTATTTGCTAATTCACCTACTTGCTAAAATTTATTTGTAACCCCAAAATCAAAACTTGCAGCATCTTAGGCTAGGCAGGGCGGCTCACGCCTGTAATCCCAGCACTTTGGTAGGCTGAGGTGGGTGGATCACCTGAGGTCAGGAGTTTGAGACCAGCCCAGTCAACATGGTGAAACCCCATCTCTATTAAAAATACAAAAAAAATTAGCCAGGTATGGTGGCAGGCACCTGTAATCCAAGCTATTTGGGAGGCTGAGGCAGAGAATCACTTCAGCCCAGGAGGTGGAGGCTGCAATGACCTAGATTGCACCATTGCACTCCAGCCTGGGTGACAAGCGCAAAACTCCACCTGGATTAAAAAAAAAAAAAAAAAAACTTGCAGTGTCTTGCAGCCATTTATGGACATGCATAGAATGGCGAAAAATCTAAGTCACCCCCATGCACATTCTCAGCTGAGACTGAACAAGGCGACAGACACTCCTTTATTTCAACTCTCATACTGTAAACAAGTGTCCTTTTCACAGTATTTTTTCAAATTTTTGTGCTTTTGATTGGTGATTTCATGTTTTAAATGGCCTCCAAGCAGCAGCACTGAAGTGCTGTCTATTGTGTCTAAGCACAAGAATGCTGTGATGTGCATTACAAAGAAAATACGTGGTAGATACATTTTATCCAGGCATGAGTTTTAGTGCTGTTGGCCATGAATTCAATGCTAATGAATCAACAATAGCTACGAAATAAGCTCTTTAAGCAGAAACATAAAGGTTATGTGATGGCTATGTCAGTTATGAGCTGACAAAAATGCTGTGACTAGAGGCTCACAAGAACCTAACCCTGTATTTCCGGTAAGAACAATCCCTCAGTATTCACTAAGTCAGTATTCAAGATGAGCTTATAGAACGTAATTACTATGAATGATGAGAATCAACCGCACAAACAAAAGGACATATATTAAACATAGCAGACCAGTGAGCCAGTGAAAGTGGAGAATGGAGACATGGAAAAAAGGGAAAAAATAAATACATTAAATGAGAAGAGGCTTGCACACACCAATTTTAAGGTGCTATCAACAAAGGAGTATGGTAATTCATACTGATAATTCTGAATCTGAGGCCAAAACTAAATAAAAAGGTAAAAACACAGTAACATTATAGTAAGAGAGGTAATTCAGTAAATGAATGGCCTACCACAGAGATGTGCTTGCAGAGTTCTAAATATAAACAATAAACCTAAAACATACACTAAGATGATGCAGTTAAGGAATCAGAGAAATGTCTTAAGGTAAAAAAGATTAACATACCTGAGGTACACTGTGTTTTCCATATTTCCAAAACTTATTCTGTGATAAAAGAGACTTAATTTTCTCCTCCAGAGAATGAAGCTCATTATCAGGTAAGAGGCAAAGCAATTTCTTTAACGCCAATAAGGAACAAGTTACAACCCGATAGAATTTAGCTTCTCTTTCTTCCTCTGGAACAGTTCTTAATATAAAACAAAATAATATATTAAAAAATTTGGAATAAGCCAAACTACATAACTGGTACTTCTATTTTAAGTTTTTATCATTAAATATCTACCAAAGTTGCTTTATTTCTATCTATTTCCCCTATGTCAATGACCCTCAAAGTATAAACATACAAAGAAATTTAATCACACTTTACTCCTAATACTAGGTGAAAGAAGATGAAAGGCCAAGGCTTGAAATAAGTGAGCAAGTATAATGCTGTCAGTAGCATGTACAAGGGTGATCCCAGGGAATGGATATCAAGCCATCTAAGACTATTTTCCCTCAAGGACTCTTAAAACTTTAATTAGAATTTAAAAGTAAACAAGGCTGGGCACGGTGGCTCACACCTGTAATTCCAGCATTTTGGGATGCCTAGATAGGCAGGTTATCTGAGGTCAGAAGTTTGAGACCAGCTTGACCAACATGGTGAAACCCTATCTCTACTGAAAATACAAAAAAAATTAGCCAGGTGTGGTGGCAGGTGCCTGTAATCTCAGCTACTCAGGAGGCTGAGGCAGAGTTGCTTGAAGGAGGTGGAGGTTGCAACAAGCTGAGATCGTGCCACTGTACTCCGGCCTGGGCAAAAAGAGTTCATCTTAAAAAAAAAAAAAGTCACATTGACATCATCCGATTACTTATGAGTGAAACAAATCCTTAACATGAGTTACAAAGAACCAATACAACTTACTGCGGGTCACTGAGTGTATCAGGTGTTTCTTTTAAAAGATGATCCTGCAGCACCTACAAAGAGGGGAAAATATCAAAGCCTTTGGTTTTACTGAACTGTCAATGGTGAACAGACAAAGCCTAGTTTAATAAAATCCATTTTTAAAAATCCCCATAAACCTCATCTTACCTAAGAGCAGAATCAAATAGCAAAACTAAAAGGTTTGAATTTTATCAATTTTTCTTTTTCTATCAATCCCCAACATTAGCTACTGTTAGAATAAGGATAGGCCAGGCGTGGTGGCTCACGCCTGTAATCCCAGCACTTTGGGAGGCCGAGGCCGGTGGATCACAAGGTCAAGAGATTGAGACCATCCTGGTCAACATGGTGAAACCCCGTCTCTACTAAAAATACAAAAAATTAGCTGGGCATGGTGGTGTGTGTCTGTAATCCCAGCTACCCGGGAGGCTGAGGCAGGAGAACTGCCTGAACCCAGGAGGCGGAGGTTGCAGCGAGCCGAGATCACGCCATTGCACTCCAGCCTGGGTAACAAGAGCGAAACTCCGACTCAATTAAAAAAAAAAAAGAATAAGAAGGATAGATACTTCTTCCCTCTGCGCCTATAAATACTCCTGACCACTTGTTCCTCCATTTCTCTTGCACACAGCAATGAAATGAACTTGTGAATCTGGGAGAGAAATTGGGCTCTGCTTTCCCTTCTTTTTGTAAGCCTGCTTGCCTACAAAGAACACCACGTTGTGCTCTGCTCCAACAGAGGAAGGTATGAGGTTTTCACACATGGGGAAGTCTGTTTCCTTCTGGGGTGTGGTGCAAGGGAGTCCATCCATTGTTCCAGTAACTACTTTATCAGCAATGAAAATAACATTTATTGAGCTTTTATATGTGCCAGGTATTGCTTTGAACACATATTAGGCGTTAACTAAATTAATCCTCACAAAAACTCCATGAAGTACAAGTTAATTCCTGCTTTACAGATTACAAAATGAAGGCACAGAAACTTGCCCAGGGTCACACACCTAGTTGATACCTGATGGCAGAGTGGGACTAGAACTAATGGTGTGACCTAGAGACATTTATCGTAATGTTTTATAGACAGTATGATATTCTATCTATAATGTTGACATTTTGATTTTCATTTGTCTATCTCCTAATACATGGGTTTGGAATTTGAGACAGTTCAATGCCAATAGCTGAACTGTGGCATAGCCAACTAAAGGGAAAATAAAATAGAAGAATGAACATATGGATAACAGAACCCATATGTTCATTCTGTTACCATCCATGACAAAGCCAAGAACAAATTTATTTTTTTAAAGCCTATGAAGAGCCAAATTAGTTGTCTCAAAATCCATTTCCTAAAACTCTTAATGTCCAAACTCACGACACTTCACTCTCATAACATTTATCGCTTGGCATTTTAAATCAACCAAAAATTCTCAAGTTACAGATGGGCTAGAGAACTCCATTTGAGCATATGATTAAAGCTACAAGCCTTCTCCCTAGAAAAACAAGCTTGGTACACCTGAGAAATGAAAAATGGAAGAACCTAAATGGGGAACTAGAATCAAGTAATGTGGTGGGAAGTGTTCGGTGAAGAGATTAGACAGGTAAGCAGGGACCAGATCGTGCAGAAATTTGCCTTATATTACACCATAAGACAAGTGTATGTGAAGACAAGACATTTGAATTGATAGTGTAATGGAGAGCCACAGCAGGATGGCTAATTGAAAGGAGAAAGGAAAACAGAGAGAGAGGGTCAGACAGAAATGTTTAAGTAGGGTTATACGCAGGGTGTTGTGGAAACATAGGAGTACTAAATAAGGGAATAAATGCAAGCATGGACTTTTTTTTTTTAATTATCAAGTCCCTCCTCACTCCTACTTCATCTACTTTATTTCTCCATATAATTCTAACAACTCTGTTGTCTCGTTTTTCAAGGCCATATATTGGGAACAGCAAATAAAGGGGGAAGAAATAAGATACTACTAGAAACAGACACACTGAAAGCCACAAACAGGTATGGCTGGTAACTTTTTATGAAAAAGTTATGGCAAAAGTGTTGGCCCAGTGTGAAGAAACTTTATCTGATAATGGGAGTATAAATTTGTTTGGCCTTCTGAAGGGCCAGTTATCATTTTTTATAAAAATTTTTAATGTTCTTATCCTTTGGCCCAACAAATGCTTACTACAAGTTCTAGTATGTATCACTCCCACAAGCGTATGAAGAGTTCTACTCAAGAATGTTTACTGAAGTAGCATTTGTTATGATAAAAAATTAGAAAAAAATTCAAATGTATATTAATATAAAAAGAGTTAAACTATAGTACATTCAAGTAAAGTTACACCAGAAAGCCAACAAAAAGAGACTAAGGTAGATCTGTATATATGTACTGAAATGGAAATATCAGAGAAAATAATTTAGATTTATTCTTAGATACATTCTTTGTTTAGATTACACATTATAAAACATATCTACTTTTTTAAAAAATAAAGACTTCAAAACTAAAATGAAAAATAGAAATACTGCAGAAAGATCCAATCCAAATGTTAAATTGTTACAGATCCAAATTAGTCAACTTTACTAAACAGAATCTTAAAATGGCAATCTTCAGTTGGAAATATTATACTTACTCATTCCCCTGCAATCCTAAGTAAAAGAGCTGTCATTATGGTATGCTTATAACCTGAAACACTTAAAAAAAAAAAAAAAAATTCAGAATGATTCCAGAACTTACACTTGTAATTTCATCTTTACAAAATGCTATGGCTTCAGGTTGCTTGCTTGGAGGAAAAGCCGCTTCAAATGCATCTTTTGCCGCAAAAGCAGCTGGTGTGTAAGTATCACACTGAGCCATTAGCCAATATCCCATTAAACTTTTTAAGTAGGGAGCCAACTGTTTCTTTACTTTAAGGATAAGTTTTTCAAAAGCTTGCTGTGTGGCTTCTCGGACCCGACGATCATGATCCTATTAAAAATATAAATGTGATTTAAAATAGCTCTAGTCCAGAAAAACAGTCACAGACATTTCCAAATATGCTATAATGACCCATTACCAAGAATTCACCTACGTATTGAGCCAAACTGAAATCAATTTTTTAAATCAATAATTTAGAGGTTTTTTAAATCAGAAATTATGTAAAATAATTAATTTTTCTTTCTCCCCTTTTCCCAATGATAGGATTATATTCAAAACAGATTCAAAGTTGAGCCTTGAGGCTGAGCACGGTGGCTCACACCTATAATCCCAGCACTTTGGGAGGCCAAAGTGGGCTGATCATTTACAGACAGGAGTTTGAGACCAGCCTGGCCAACATGGTAAAACCCCCATCTCTAATAAAAAATACAAAAAATTAGCAAGGCATGGTGGCACACACCTGTAATCCCAGCTACTCAGGAGGCTGAGGCAGGAGAATCACTTGAACCCTGGAAACAGAGGTTACAGTGAGCAGAGATTGTGCCACTGCACTCCAGCCTGGGTGACAGAGCAAGACTCCGTCTCAATTTAAAAAAAAAAAAGTTGGGCCTTGAATAATTAAGCAACTCACTCTCATTCTTCTGCAGCAAATTTACAGGGAATAAAATAATTGTCAAAATGTATTAAAACTGGAAAGCACCTGGGTAATTCTCTAGTAACAACCTTATTTCTGAAAACAGATTTCCTCAATGTTCTTCATAACCCAACACAATCCAGTAATTTTCTTTTTTTTTTTTTTTTAAAGACGTTGTCTCTCTCTGTTGTCCAGGCTAGAGTGCACTGATGAGATCTTGACTCACTGCAACATCCGCCTCCTGGGTTCAAGGGATTCTCCTGCCTCAGGCTCCCAAGTAGCTGGGATTACAGACATCCGCCACCATGCCTGGCTAATTTTGGTATTTTTAGTAGAGACAGGGTTTCACCATATTAGTCAGGCTGGTCTCAAACTCCTGACCTAAAGTGATCTGCCCAACTCAGCCTTCCAAAGTGCTGGGATTATAGGTATGAGCCATCGTACCTGGCCCCAATCTTTTTTATTTCCACACTCTTCTCCAGTGTTAAAAATTCAATCTGTATAACAAGACTAACCTAACATTTAATAACCCTCACCAAAAATCAACCTTACAAATTTGAGAGTCTCCATGACTCCAACCAAAAACATACAACAGAAATAAACTAGCAAAGTTTGAATACTTACAAGTGAAATTTTGCAAAAAATTCTTGGCCAATATGGAAGAACTCCTTTCACAGTTTCTGTGTCTCTCTCTGTACACATGGTTCCAAATTCCTGCATAGCCTAAAATTAAGTTATTAACATAATTAAGGATTAACAACTATACTACTGGCTATTATTACTCTGTTCTGGAAGCTTTGTCTATTGTATGTAGCAGGAGAATACACCATTTCTGTTTACGCCATAGGGGACTAGTCTGAAGAGCTCCTTCACAGGCTACTATGGGAGAAACTCCACAGTTGTTTTTTAAAAAATAAAACATCTACAAAGAAAAAAACCTCAATTTAAAGTTACACGGTCAAAGTTACATTTCCTAATGGGAAAAACTGTACAGCCAAAATTCCAAAGCAGTTCAAAAAAGTTTTGTGTAGCAAACTAACTTACAATTTAGAAAATAAATATCAAGTTTAAGACTGTGTATCAGAAAAAAGTACAATTGTAGGCTGGGCACAGTGGCTCACACCTATAATCCCAGCACTTTGGGAGGCAGGCAGATCACGAGGTCAAGAGATCGAGGCCATCCTGGTCAACAAGGTGAAACCCCGTCTCTACCAAAAAAAAAAAGGCCAGTCGCGGTGGGTCACGCCTATAATCCCAGCACTTTGGGAGGCCGAGGCGGGTGGATCACAAGGTCAAGAGATCAAGACTATCCTGGTCAACAAGGTGAAACTCCGTCTCTACTAAAAATACAAAAATTAGCTGGGCATGGTGGTGCGCGCCTGTAGTCCCAGCTACTCAGGAGGCTGAAGCAGGAGAATTGCTTGAACCCACAAGGCGGAGGTTGCGGTGAGCCGAGATCGCGCCTTGCACTCCAGTCTGGGTAACAACAGCGTAACTCCGTCTCAAAAAAAAAAAAAAAATACAAAAATTAGCTGGGCGTGCTGGCACGCGCCTGTAGTCCCAGCTACTTAGGAGGCTGAGGCAGGACAATTGCTTGAACCCAGGAGGCGGAGGTTGCAGTGAGCTGAGATTGCGCCACTGCACTCCAGCCTGGCACATGGCAACAAAGCAAGACTCTGTCTCAAAAAAAGAAAGAAAGAAGAAAGTACAATTGTAAAAGAGCTTAGCAATAAATTATTGTTCATGTTTCTTTACATAAGATACGCTAATGACATTTCATTTTAACAAAGGGATTTTCCTGATAACTTTTATGAAAACAAGGAAACTTGCTTTTAATTTTGTGGTGACATCTTTCTTTGAAAGTTTCCGCAGCACCATTCGGAAATCAGAATCTACAAGACTGTCAATTTCTTCAGCTCCTTGAATAGCAGGAACGTAACCCAGGTCATTGTGAGATGTTCCAAAACCAATAAATCCAGGCACTGTTCCCTGTTCTTTGGCAAGTAGTTCTGCAGCTCGGCCACTGTTTGAAGGCTGATAAGAAAATTATGGAGAAAAGAAGTGAGAGTCCGGAAAGGGCTCAAAACTAGACTTTATAATTCCTTGGCTACTCCCATGGTCAGAATGAGCTTTTACTCTAATATATTTTCTTTTTTCCTAGCCTAAAATTTCATCCATTGCAAAGTTCCCCAAAGACTAATGGTTTTGTTGCCGCCAAGAATCCATCGATACTGATCCTAGGAATTATTCCATTTCCTAAATATTAGAATGTTTTGTAAACCATGGATACAATCCGTTATTGGCTCATAATATCAATATAATGGACCATGACAGAATTTTAAAGAAATTGATAATTTTTAAAATCACAATGTATCATGTGGTAAAATTTTCACTAATGCTGTTTTACGAATTTTATTTCCAACTTTCATATAAATAGTATGTATACACTCTCATATACTGTGTAATGCTGTAAAATTAACTCATAAATAGAACCCATCTTTTCATTCATTCATAAACTGAACAAGTATTTATGAAGCAATCACAATGGCCCAGGTCTCTTGATAGCTGCTGCTAGACTGGGAGTTCCTTGAGGGTGGATACACTCATTTCCACATACTCAAAGCTTACCCTAACCTCCTTCGGCTAAAATTACATTATTATGGCCAATAAAAATCAATACAGTGGTCAATCTGTAAGACAGACTCCTTTGTTTTGAATCATACTCAGTGATTTGTCTGACTGATACACAATATAGTAGTCTTCAATTAAAAGATAGGAGGTTGATACAAAGAAATATTTGAATTGCTGAAAGAAATTAACTTATTGTCATCTAAAGAGAAAATGTTTCAGACATCCACAATCCATGTAAACTCATCTATTTCTTATTTCTCTATAAAGATGTTTGCCAACAGTTATCCGAATGTGTGATTCAAATTGCTCATACCAGCAGAGCAGGGTGGCTCATGCCTGTAATCCCAACACTTTTGAGAGGCCAAGGCGGGTAGATCACTTGAGCCCTAAAGTTCAAGACCAGCCTGGGCAACATGGCAAAACCCCGTCTCTACAAAAAAAACACAAAAATTAGCCAGGTATGGTGGTGGATGCCTATAATCCCAGCTATTCAGAAGACTGAGGTACAAGGATCACTTGAACCTGGGAGGCTGAGGTTGCAGTGAGCCAAGATCGTGCCACTGCACTCCCCCCAGGCAACAGAGTAAGACTCTGTCTCAAAAAAAAAAAAACTTGCTAATACCTAGCAAAAGTGCGTTTAGAAAATTCATTTGGCAAGGAATAATCTGGCCTACTTTCTACACTGAATTAAGTGACCAGAAAAGAAAATGATGGCCCGCATTACATTTTTTTCTTCAATCTGTAGCATTTAAAACTAAGTGAAAGCAAGTCTATTAAGAAAATAGGTCAGGCACAGTGGTTCATTCCTGTAATCCCAGCACTCTGGAAGGCCAAGGAGAGTAGATCACCCAAAGTCAGGAGTTCGAGACCACCTTGGCTAACATGGTAAAATCCCATCTCTACTAAAAATAAGAAAATCAGCCGGGCTTGGTGGAGCATGCCTTTAATCCCAGCTACCTGGGAGACTGAGGCAGGAGAACTGCTTGAACCCAGGAGGCGGAGGTTGCAGTATGTCAAGATTGCAGCATTTGCACTCCAGCCTGGGCAAAAAGAGTAAAACTCCATTTCAAAAACAAAAAGAGAAAAGAATAAAAGAATGGCTACTCCACAGGCAAAGCAGTGGTTCTCTATTTTTTAAGTTTACTAAAATGAATTAATATTGGTAATTCAATTCACCTTTCTCAATACTGGTACATGAATAAAGAGCTACAAAGGAAGTAGTTAGTGAATCATAATTCTAAAAACTAAATATGATGACTTTAGGGTATCATGTAAACAACCCAAGTTACTTTTAAATGCACTAATTATCTTTCTTTCAATGTCTACTTTGAATTTAAAAGTTATTCTTATGACCTTTGTACATTAAGTGCTATACCCATAGTTTAATAAAAATTAAGAAACAATTCTATTTATGACTTTTATTTTTTCTTATACTATGACTACTTCTGTCTACGTTCTTTTGGGCCTAGCTTCTAGAGGTATTTGAGGTGGTAATTCTGAGTCTACAGTTTACAGACCAAACCAAGGAAGACTTACAAGATCTTTTACCATCTAAACTCAACTTTTCACTGTCTTACCTCCTGCCACTATTTCCTTCCCTTGTCCCACCTCCTTCTCTAATTATGCTGCCATCATTCCTGCTCTAGTACCAAACTGAATTCAACGTTCTCTGAGGCAGGGCATGGCGGCTCATGTCTGTAATCCTAGCATTTTGGAAGGCTGAGATGGGCAGATCACTTCAGGCCAGGAATTTGAGACCAGCCTGGCCAACATGGCGAAATCCCATCTCTACTAAAAATACAAAAAATTAGCCAGGTATGGTGGAGCACGCCTGTAATCTCAGCTACTCAAGAGGCTGAGGCAAGAGAATTGCTTGAACCAGGGAGGTGGAGGTTGCAGTGAACCAAGACACTGTCTCAAATAAAAAAAAAAAAGGTTATCTATGTGATGCCCTTTCACAATTTGATCTTTATATACTCTTTTCTCTCTACCTAAAAATGTTTCCTTTCTTTTCACTCCCTGACAAACTCCTATTTATCCTTCAAACTCGTATTTGCAACACTTGCCTTCCCTCATTCTTTTTTATTCTCCCACATTCTTTCTTCTAATACCTGCATCATGCTTTAATATAATATTTGCTTACATATGTGCCTGTTTCATCAAACTAGCAGTTCAAGAACAGCAGACATCTGTCTATTATCTCTGAATATCTGACATCCAGTATCAAAGTCTTCTATTGAAGACTTTACCACATTAAAGTTAAAATCCCAACTCCACAACTTCCTGGCTACATGAGCTCATGCAAGCTAATTTCTCTAAACCTCAGTTTCATCACATTTAAAATGATATATGAGTAATTAATTCATTACTTGGGTTGTTTTCATGATTAAACATAAGTTTTCAAATCACTATAGTAATAAATGATTCCAGGGTACTCAAAACATTAGGTGAAAGTTTGTGGAAGGATAGGACATTCACAGTTTCAAACTAACATATTATTTGTCACTGACAAATGGAAAAAGATGACTTTATAATGGACAACACCTTAACCAAGTGGTTAAACAAATACCACCAATAAGGGGACAAGCAGGTGCAAAGTGCCCCTGGTGTGATGCACAGAGAAAGATTTATCATCTATGAAAGATTCCTTCTAAAAATTGTTTAGCCTGAATCTAATCATAAGGAAACAACGAGATCAATCTGAATTAATTAAACAAATGGCCCAGACTCTTCCAAATTTTGTTTAAAATACACTCCTCTCCCTGCTTAAACAGCACTGAGAAATTCTGGATCAAAGAAACCCAAATGGTAACTAAATGGAATGAGTGATCCTTGACTGGATCTCAAATGTTAAAATCATTTATCTTTTAAAAAGAAAAGAAAAGCCCCAGACTGGTGACATGGCAAAATTCTGTCTATATAAAAAAAAAATACAAAAATTAGCTGGCTGTGATGGCCTATGCCTGTAGTCCCAGCTACTGGAAAGGCTGAGGTGAGAGGATCACTTGAACCCGAGAGGCAGAAGTTTGCAGTGAGCCGAGATCATGCCTCAGCATTCCAGCCTGCATAACAGAGAGAGATCCCGTCCCGAAAAAAATACATATATTAGCCAGGAGTCCTAGCTACTGAGGAGGCTGAAGTGGAAGGACCACTTCTTGAGCCCAAGAAATCAACACTGCTATGGGCATTATCATAGCACTGTACTCCAGGCTGGGAGACAGAGTGAACCTGCCTAACCAAAAAAAAAAAAAAGTCTGTAGAGAACATTATTGGGATAACCACATAAGTCTAAATACAAGGCTGTATACTGGTACAGTATTACACAAAAGTCAGAGTTTCTGCATGCTATACTCATTACTGTAATTGCTACAGGCTAGAAGAATGGCATTGTCTTTAGAAGATTCATGCTGACGTATTTAGAAGTTAAGAGTCCCGACTTCTGCAACTAACTCTCATACAGTTCAGCAAAATACATAAAGTAAGAGAAAGAAAGTAAATGCAACCAAGTATTAACAACTGGTGAATCTAGGTAAAGAGTATATGGGATGTCACTCTAATATTCTTGCAACTTTTCCTCCTAAGAACTTTTCAAATATATTGAGAAAATTTGTTAAAAAAAAAACATTAAATGAGGATGCAAGTGCTTAGCAGAGTAACATAGTAGGTTGCTAGAATTGCTAATACTGTTACTATCTTCCAAAACAGATTAAGTGACTGATTTGAGAAAATGTGACATTGAAATCACTAGAATTAACTATATTAGAAACAGGGAAAAAGTATTCTTATAAAATTGGACTGTAATATAACAAATTTAACGACATAAAAAAATACCATTATAACACCGCTCATTGCATAGTTTTACACGAATCCACTTTAAGGTCTTCTTTAAACAAGTACTTAGTGAGCGCCTATTAGGTGCTAGTCTCTGTTTTATTCGAGGATAAAAACATTTGCTTTCAAAATACTTACATCCTAGTGAAGCAAGACACTAAATGCCATATTATGTTAAAAGTTATAAATACGGCGGAGTAAAATAAAGCAGGAAGAACAGGGAGTGGGGAAGGGCTACAAGAGGGTGATCATGGGAAAGTTTGGAGGCACCTAACTGAAAAGCGTTGGGAGCGGGCCAGGTTAAGGTCAAGGCACAGTGAAGAGATGAGTATGGCTGGATGAAGTAAGCCAAGAGGAGGGAGTTGAAGATGGGGTTGCAGATGGAAAGGGGTAACAGGCAGACCAGAAACCAAATATACCATCCAAAGAGCTCTGGTTTAGCAGCAGTCACTGTAGGTAGCAAAGGAGAGGCACGATCAGCGGTAACCTCCACAATGGGTTCACTTTAACATCCTCCCAACTCTCCTCCTTCCTAGCGCCGCCCTCCCCCAACTAAATCGCTACCTCCGCCAGATAGCCTTCCACTGAAGCTGACACACAATCATTTCTCCATGAATATTGTGGGTGTGTGCTTGGATGGGGACAGGTCTGGCAGGGAACATCTCTTCTCTCACAATTCCCCAGTCTGCTCAGAGATAACCCAAACCGCCCTCAGGGACGCACACAACGGAGAGGTCACACTCGACACTCAAACACACGCCTCCCTACAACCGCGCTCCACACACCCTCCTGCCACACACTGGTACCACTACCAGCTGCCTCGAAGCGAGGCTCCCCGGTCGGCCGAGCCACCCCCCCACCCCCCACTCACCCTCAGGTTCCCTTTAGTTCGCTGCTTGTTCTTCCCGCCCATGGTCGCGGTTGCAGCTGTACTCTGAGCCCTCAGACCCAGGTTGACACGTCCTGGCGACAACTTCCGGCCTCTGGCGCCGGAAGAGGACTCCCTGTAATAACTTCCCCCGAACCGCGCTTTCCGCCACCTGCCCAGTTCTTCTGCTGCCCCACTTCCGCTCCCGCCTCCCGCCTCCCGCTGTGTCACTGACCATTCGCCGCCTTAGACGTCACAGTTAAAGCCACGCCTGTATGAGTGACGTCATTCATGGCCAATAGGAAACCAAGCATTGGATTCGTGGCGCCAAATCCTGTCTTCGGCGCTTTCAGAAGCAACATTTGTCCCTCGCTTAGCGGGTAGGAAACTGGCGTGAATCACAAGAGGGGCAGTTTCATATGAGGGTAGCAATAGGATGTTATGGTAGAGGCTGTGGGAAGATGGGAATGGGTTAGACTTCCAAAGGGATGCAATCATCAGTATCACCTGGGCGTTTGTTTGAATGGCCAATTCGGGCCCCTCCGAACTCCTGAATCAGATCTTGCATTTTGACAGTATTCCCAAATCTTCTTAAAATGTGATTACTGCTGTAGACAATATTCTTTCTAAATCTCTGCCCCCCCCCCGTCCCCTTTTATCCATATTGAAAGTGTTATATGCAGTTTAGAAAAGGAGTTTAACGGCCGAGCGTGGTGGCTCACTCCTGTAATCCAAGCACTTTGGAGACCAAGGTGGGCGGATCACCTGAGGACGGGAATTCAAGAGCAGCCTGAAGAACATGGTGAAACCCCGTCTTTATTAAAAAAAGAAAAGAAAGAAAGAAAAAGAGAAGGAATTTAACGTGAGAGTCTCTATTAAAATTTGAAACGTACAAATCCTGTAACTTAGTGATTTTGCGACTCGGAATCACACTAGAGAAACAAGTAAATGTGTGGTGGTTATTGTTTCTCGTTCACACAGTCACCCTTTTATACTCAACTCCATGTTACTGGGGCGCCCCTGCTGGATTCCACCAACAGGGCAACAAAGGCAAGAAGAAGAAGGGACTTGCTCCATTCTGTGAGCATCCTCTCAGCAGCAGCTGCCTTTTACTGTGGCAGGAGCAATTGCTTTAGCCAGCAGGTGGTTTTAATCTCCATCCTTTTTCCAACAATCACAGAATCAGCCTTATTGCACCCCTCAAAGATAACAGCAGCAATCAGTGCTCTCCTCAGAGATCTGAATTCCAGTTTCATGGGGCCTTTCCCCTGAGCTCTTGAGATAATAGCCAATGTTTGAGCCCCAACACCGTGGGATCTCTTCTTTTAGCTCCAGAGGTCCAGCAACAGCCAGCCATCACCCTCTCTTCATTCTTCAAAGGCCTGAACTAAGGTATACATCTTCATCTCCGTCTCAAAAGTAATAATAATGTTTAATTTTTTCAAAATGTAAATATTTATGTCAAGAAATGTCAGCCGAGTGCAATAGTTCATGCCTGTAATCCCAGCACTTTGGGAAGTCAAGGTGGGAAGATCACCTGAGGTCAGGAGTTTGAGACCAGCCTGGCCAACATGGTGAAACCCCATCTCTACTAAAAATATAAAAGTTAACTAGGCACTTTGGCACATGCCTGTAATCCCAGCTACTTGGGAGGCTGAGACAGGAGAATCACTTGAATCCATAAGGCAGAGGTTGTCTTGAGCTGAAATCACACCACTGTACTCCAGCCTGGGTGACAGAGCAAGCAAGACTCTGTCTCAAAAAAAAAAAAAAGAAAGAAATGTTTCAATACTTTTAAGACTGCAAAAATCAGATTGGGAGTTAAAAAAAAAAACAAGATTTGAAACTCTTCTTCATTCATGATTATTAAGATTAGAAATTCTTGTTTTCACAGATTGAGTTTTACATCAGAATTATAGCCTTTTGCCCTAAGTAAATATTGAGCATGTCTTACAGAAGTCTGATGTTAAAATAATCTTACCCATCCAGACAACTTTGTGAGGAGGAAAATCAGATCTCAAGTACTTAAAAATATATTTCCACAGGCTGGGCACGGTGGTTCATGCCTGTAATCCCAGCAATTTGGGATCCACACCAGCAGCTGTCCGTTGATCCCCTTCATGGAGATGATATACAGGTTTTTGGCTCCTGTGTTGTCAGCACAATTGATCACAGCTCCTACTGGAAGATGCAAGGAAATCTGAACTTCCGCACCAGAGGACCCACCACATCCTCACTTCCACATCTTGAACTCCAGAAAGAAGGAAAAAAGTATGTTTTTATTTTTTTCAGCAAACTTCTTATTTAAATAGCAGCAACACGGCCAGGTGCGGTGGCTCACGCCTATAATCCCAGCACTTTGGGAGGCCAAGGCGGGTGGATCACAAGGTCAAGAGATCGAGACCATCCTGGTCAACAAGGTGAAACCCCGTCTCTACTAAAAATACAAAAATTAGCTAGGCATGGTGGTGCGCGCCTGTAGTCCCAGCTACTCGGGAGGCTGAGGCAGGAGAATTGCTTGAACCCAGAAGGCGGAGGTTGCGGTGAGCCAAGATCATTCCATTGCACTCCAGCCTGGGTAACAACAGCAAAACTCCATCTCAAAAAAATAATAATAATAAATAAATAAATAGCAGCAACACTACATAAGTAGTATATGCCAGGAGAACATTTGTTTGTCAGCTGGGATCCCTAGAGAGTCAACTGAACAAATAAGATCTAATAGTTTGATAACATTACAAAATAAATGTACAATAAGAATAATTTCAGTATATATCAACTATAACTTATCACAATTCAGCATGAGATTTGAGCATAGACAAGCATCCAAACTATATCAGAGTGATTTAAAAGAAAAGAAAATAACCATAATAGTAGTACAGGAATATATAGGTGAATTTCCAGTTCAAAATAGCATCTGTTAGCAGCCTCTCCCAAATTCGGACACACACAAAAAAAATTGATGAAAACATTGAGGAAGACAAAAATAGCATAACTAAAACTAAAACTGATGAAAAACACATTTCCAGAATCTAGAAGGAAACTGTAATATTGAGTCTGGACTCATGAAGTCAATAAGGCAGGAAGGAGATACAGATACATGTATACATATTTCCCTACCACATAAAACTATGTCCTTTCATGCTGGTCTAACCCCTACTCCCATCTGCCCTAAAAGCCCTTCCTTCCCACATACTTTTTGGAATTGCAGCTCCATGACTAACCAATATTCACCCTCAACACTTGTTCCCAGTTTGGCTAACGACAGTGCTTCCCCAGAAGCCTCTGGTAAGTGATGTTTATTGTCTAAAATCCCACCTATCTAAGGGGTCTGCAGATAAGAACAGGATCCTCTTTGCTTCCACTTTCCTTAAAAAAATAAATTATTATTTTCAGGATGCTGTCAACAGAATATACATTCTGACATCAGTCCTCTTACCAGCCTCCTGGTCACTCCCTTTTAGTCTCTAAAGACTTTAGCACTTGGCTCTCCAACCTCATTCCAAACATCATCCTGGATGGCTTTTTAAAGTCTGAATTAGGTGCATGCGGAATATCTGTCCACTGCTTGCCCTCTCAGAACATTTGTTTGTCAACTGGGATCCTTAGAAAGTCAACTGAACAAATAAAATGTAATAGTTCGATAACATCACAAAATAAACCTACATAAGGATAATGTCAGTATATATCAGCTATAACTTATCACAATTCAACGTGAGATTTGATCTTCATATCTCATATCATTTTCCCCCATTCCACTTCATCTACCATACCACAGTCATATCCTGATATTACTCTTGTACCAGAGTGAGTAAAGAAAACCAACATCAAGACCAAAGTATGCCAAATTGCAGGGTCTTTATTGCCGGTGGCCACAGAGAACTCACGTCTCTCCAACCCGTGGCCCTGAGCTCAGGGGGAGCAAGGTATTTAAGTTGCTAAACCATATCCTTATTTCGGGGGGCTCCGGGTTGCACAAGGCAAGCTGTTTGTACAGAAGCTAAAGTCAGCGGTTTGTTGCAAGGGAAGGGGGGTAGCAGTGGAAATTTTTAACCTTAGAAAGTAACACTTCTGAGCATTGCAACACAATATCAGTTCTGAGAACTATAACTGTGCTCAGGGCCCAGGTGGTTTTCTATAAGATGGCAGTGCTTACGCTTTCTGTTTTAGCCCCTATCTCATTACTACTTACATTTTCCCAATTTGTTGGGAAATGTTGAACACTACCAGGAAAACAAACAATTTAGTCAACAGAACCTTGAGACCACTAAGCATTAATGATTCCAAGCCTTAGTTTTGTCTTCATTACAGCCCTAAACATGTACCATACTTCTGTAATTTTCCCAATTTCACCCCACTCTTGGGTCACAATCCCCTCTTGCCAGAATCCTCATTTAACTGTTTCCACCTAGACATTCTTCAAGGAAATCTTGACCTTGCATTGTGCCCCGAACTCCAAGGACTCTTCTCTCTTTACTCCCTTCATTGTTGACTTTAGATTTCATGATCTTTTGTATCAATTACTCTCTTGCCAATAACAATAAGTCTCTTGTTCATCTACTCTTTCAGCCTATTCATCCTGAGAAACCAAACACTACACAAAGCCAGTTATTTGTTTTCAGCTGTTTTTTTTTCTTACCAGAGAAATGTTGAACACTACCAGGAAAACAATTTAGTCAACAGAAGCTTGAGACCACTAAGCATTAATGATTCCAAGCCTTAGTTTTGTCTTCATTACAGCCCAAAAAATGTACCATACTTCTGTAATTTTCTAGGACTCCCTACAAATAATTATTTGAACAGTTCTTCAAAACTCTCACCATTCTACCTTCCTCCCTGACTTCAACAGATGACTTTTCCTCCCATTTCACAGGACAAGAATAGGATCAGATTATATACCATATCTTTCCGACAGCAAACATGTAAATTGGGCTGATGATGATAATTATTTTTTTTTCTGAGACGGAGTCTCACACTGTCGCCCAGGCAGTAGTGCAGTGGCGCAATCTTGGCTCACTACAACCTCTGCCTCCTGAGTTCAAGCAATTCTCCTGCCTCAGCATCCCAAGTAGCTGGGACTACAGGTGTGGACGACCACACCCAACTAATTTTTTTGTATTTTTAGTAGAAACAGGGTTTCACCATGTTGGCCAGGATGGTCTCAATCTTCCGACCTCGTGATCTACCCGCCTCGGCCTCCGAAAGTGCTGGGATTACAGGTATGAACCACTGCACCCAGCTGGCTGATGATTATTTTACACTGTTTAACTGAATGGTTGCTAAAATAGTAAAATTCTCCTATACCCTCTGAAATATTCTTTCATTGCCCTTGCCATTTCCCTAGGACTTCTCTGACCTCCCCTTGATTCCTGACTAAAGTGTTAATTGCAGATTTATGAGGAGGCTTCTAAAATCCCATTCCAGCCCCAGACGTGTGACTATTCCAATGGATGGTGACCGCGTCATATTGGTTGTTGAGTACGTTGAATATCATCCCTTCCCACAAACCTTCCTTCCATCTTCAACTATAGTCCTTCCATAATTCTGTTTAAAAAGAAGTGTCAAAGATGGGGAAAAAAAATAAATGCACAAGGCTAGTCATTGCTGCACCACTTCAAAGTCAAAATGAAGGAACAGAACAACACAAATATCCATCAACTGGATGCCAGTTGAAAAAATATGGTGCAACTACATAATGTAATATTATATAGCTATTAAAGGAAATGAGAAATATGTCTATATACTGCTCTGGAGTGAGCCTCACAGTCTTTTTGGTTATTTGGTTTGCTTGTTTTTCTGTTTATGGAGACAGAGTCTCACTCTGTTGCCCAGGTTGGAGTGCAGTGGTGCCATTACAGCTCACTGCAGTCTTGACTCGGGCTCAAGTGATTCTCCCACCTTAGCCTCTCAAGTGTCTGGGATCAAAGGCATGCACCACCATGCCCGGCCAATTTTTTTCTTTTTTTGTAGAGATGAGGTCTCGCCATCTTGCCCAGCCTGGTCTCAACTACTCAGGCTCAGGTTATCGCCTAGCCTCAGCTTCCCAAATGCTGGGATTATAGGTGTGAACCACTACACCAGCCTCATCCCGCCAGGCTTTAAAATGTGAGGTATTGCCATAGAGATCTGTAGTGTTGGTTAGGAATAAACAGTATGTGGATTGTCATTCAATACCAAGTGCTGTAAGGGGCATGAAGCAACTGGAAGTCTTTTTTTTTTTTTTTTTTTTTTAGATGGAGTTTCACTCTTGTTACCCAGGCTGGAGTGCAATGGCGCGATCTCGGCTCACCGCAACCTCCGCCTCCTGGGTTCAAGCAATTCTCCCGCCTCAGCCTCCTGAGTAGCTGGGATTACAGGCACGCACCACCATGCCCAGCTAATTTTTTGTATTTTTAGTAGAGACGAGGGTTTCACCATGTTGACCAGGATGGTCTCGATCTCTTGACCTTGCGATCCACCCGCCTCGGCCTCCCAAAGTGCTGGGATTATAGGTGTGAGCCACCGCGCCCGGCCTACAGTATTTTTTTTTTTTTTTTTAAAGAAAACCCCACATAGACACACATGCAAAAATAAGATACTAGAAAATAAAATGTAAAACCAAGATTTAGGCTGGGTGTGGTAGATCATGCCACAGCACTGGAGCCTGGATGACAGAGCCAGACTGTCTCCAAACAAACAAACAAAAAACAAAACGAAACCTAAGAAAGCTATATTGCTTAAACTCTAACATTTAACTACATTTATCCGTTCTCAAAAGAACTTGCTAATCACAAGACTGGAAAAATCTGTCCTTCCCTGGCTTACTATGACTTAATCATAAATGTCTAAATTTGACAGGTGTTCCAGGAGAGAAAACTTAACAAAACTATTCTGTTGCATTTTGTTTATGTGACATTTGAGATCTGCATGTTATATATAGTAATCTAGTTTTTTTTTTTTTTTTTTTTTTTTTTAAAGATGGGGTTTCACCATGATGGCCAGGCTGGTCTTGAACTCTTGACCTCAGGTGATCCACCCACCTCGGCCTCCCACAGTGCTAGGTGTGAGCCACCGTACCCTGCAGTAATCTAGTTTTTAGTAATATATACAAAGACTGAAAACGTTTTAGCAGTAGCTGCTACTTTAGCTGCTTAAAGTAATATATGCATCCTCTGCCCCTTTGGTGGTACAGGTGTCAGATTCCATTCTCCGTAGATATTTCATACAAATATGCTAGTTGCTGGAGGAATCGGAAACTGGACACATGGCTAGTCCATCTAGCTGTCTGATGGCAGCAGAGGAAGAACTGGATTTCCAGGGCAACTGACAGGGTGATAGGACTGGGCAGCAGGGAGGAAATCTAGGGAGGTACGTAATATGTAGCTCCAATACAAACACTGTGCTTTAAATACCATTCTCATTCTCATTTGTGTTTAATCACCTTTATATTTAATATCTATCCATATTGCCTTCTTCCATTTTATTCCTCTAGATTTCTACATTGTATTACATAACATATGCTATCTGTTACTTACTGGTTCATTTTATGATGAGCATAGTCCAGTGTTTTTACTAACTTAATGCATCGTCTCTCACCCCAACTAAGTCTGACTGGTCAAGAATAATCCAGGCCAGGCGTGGTGGCTCACGCCTGTAATCCTAGCACTTTAGGAGGCCAAGGCGGGTGGATCACAAGATCAGGAGTTCAAGACCAGCCTGGCCAAGAGAGAGAAACCCTGTTTCTACTAAAAATGCAAAAAAAGTTAGCTGGGCGTGGTGGTGGGCACCTGTAAGCCCGGCTACTCAGGAGGCTAAGGCAGAGAATTGCTTGAACCTGGGAGGCAGAGGAGGTTGCAATGAGCCAAGATAGCACCACTGCACTCCAGCCTGGGCAAGAGTGAGACTCCATCTCAAAAAAAAAAAAAATTATCCAACACCTGGTGCCAACCTGAGTGCTAGTATTATTCGTAAATAATGAATGCTATTTATTATGCTAAGTGCTATTTGTCAGTAAATAATAAATGCTTTTGGAGCTGATTTATAGAGGGCCTCAAAAACCAGGTAGTGTGTTTATTTAAATCTAGGTCAATTTAGCAAAAATAAATGCACAGAAAGCCATTTCCAAAACAAAAGAATGTCAGAATACAATTTGCTAAATTTTCTAAATTACTAATTTGATGAATTGTTGAGACTTGTTAAAAAAAGTTCGGGCCTGCCGGGCGCGGTAGCTCACGCCTATAATCCCAGCACTTTGGGAGGCCGAGGCGGGTGGATCACAAGGTCAAGAGATCAAGACCATCCTGGTCAACATGGTGAAACCCCGCCTCTACTAAAAATACAAGAATTAGCTGGGCATGGTGGCGCACGCTTGTAGTCCCAGCTACTCGGGAGGCTGAGGCAGGAGAATTGCTTGAACCCAGGAGGCGGAGGTTGCGGTGAGCCGAGATCATGCCATTGCACTCCAGCCTGGGTAACAAGAGCGAAACTCCATCTCAAAAAAAAAAAAAAAAAGTTCGGGCCCTACTTATGCCTCAGCCTTGTGTAAGGGAAGCCCAGGAGCGGGGCACAGCATGAGTATACAAAAATAGAGATGAAATGCAAACTCCACTTCAGAAAAACTTCACCTATTTGTGTATCAAAAGGCTGGGGTAAATGCAAAACTAAATCTCTGAAAAACTGTTTGACAAACTAGCTTTCAACTGCTAGTAAAAAAAGCCTAGAAATTAAAACTGGTTTTATTTCATAAGACATCTAGAGATAGGCAGCCGCTGATATTGGGTCAGCAGCTCAACAATGTGGCAACCAGCATGTTCTTGGTTCTCTTCGCCCTTCCTTCTGCTGTGTTTCAAAGAACTCCTCCAGCTCCAGCCGTCACTTTGGTTTATGGCATCAAGAAGGGGAAGAGGAGGCCTAGCTGCATATATATCTCTAATCAGGAAGCAGAAGTTTTCCCAGAAATCCCAAGGCCAAAGCTGTTTTCTGAGGCCACTGATAGTTGCTAGTTGCAACAGAGGCTGAAAGGGGGCAGTTAGCTTTTCTGGGTTCTTCAGTGGAGGCAGGTAAGGGAAGAGTGGGTTGGGAATGGCTGGCAAATTGGAGCACCAACATTACCTTTGTGGATAATAAATTTATTTTCAAAATGGGCAACTGATATGTGAAGAAATACCTAACAACAATTTTAAGGTTAGAATTTGAAACTCAGTTTTGCTTTCAATCATGACATTTTTAACAGATGCATTTCAGCTATACTGCTTTTTCCTTGTCCGTCACTCCCCAACATTCTAGAATGGATCTAAAATAAAATTACTTAATCTTTCAAGAAAAGCCAGGAGCGGGGGAAGCTAAAGGTCAACAATGACAAGATCGTTTCAACTACTCTTTTGCTGTCATTGTCCTTCTACACCAAAGAACATCTGGAAAACATCCCCACATGCTTTGGCATTTAAGAACTGATACAGCTGACCGAAGTCCATGTGGTTTCCCCTGGCTCCATTAACACTGAACACTTTTTCTTCAAAAATGGAAAATTTCCTTTGTCTTTCCATTTCATCATTTGTACCATCAAAAGGAATGTCTTCTCGATGGCGAACTAAAATTCTCTTCCAGTTTAATTTTCTGAGTCTGAAAAGAAATTTCCAAAGTAAACATTTCAAAATGTATATTCTAAGGCACTTAAAACAGAAGTTACAAAACAGACTTATCTATGCCTTTTCTTGGAAGTAGTCTACTTTTTACTTTTTTCTAAAATAACTTTATTTATTTATTTAAAAGAGACAGGTCTTGCTATATTGCCTACACTGGTTTCAAACTCCTGGCTGCAAGTGATACTCCTGCCTCAGCCTCTAAAAAATGCTGGGATAACAGGTGTGAGTCATCGCGCCCTGCCAAGAAGTCTACTTTTATCTCAGAGGGATTTATTTTAATCATATATGATTCTGGTCATAATCCCATCCCCAAACTTATTTGTTGCCATTACTATGGCCTTGTATCAGTATTTTAGAAATGTGGGAATTACCAAATCCCAAACTACTAATGGACCTTTTCAGAAATTCATTTAGAATATCAGTAAAGAAATGAGAAGACTAGTGGCAATTCTAATGCTTCTAGAAAGCACCTTACTTCATAGGGTATCCAGTTTGAAGCATCACTAAGATGAAGGGAGAACCAGATCCATGGAAGTGGATGGGGTCACAGTGTCTTGGGCAGGGGCTCAATTCATTCAGTATATAATTACAGAATGTCTCCTACAGGCACTTGTCAGGTGAGGGGCAAAATGCTGACTACATGTGATTTCTGCTGTATCCACCAACTTGAGAATGAATCCCATACTTATATCCACATCTTTAATACAGTCATGTGTTGCTTAACAACAGGGAGACATTCTGAGACATGCATCTTCAGGCTATTTTGTTGTTGTACCACCACGATAGAGTGAACTCACACAAACCTAGATGGTACTTTTTTTTAATTTATATTTTTTCATGTGGAAAACCAAATGTCCCAGCACCATTACTGAATATCACTCTGATATTCAACAGTGGGAAGATCAAGTGCCATATATCAGGTTTCTATAGTGCTCCATTATAATCTTATGGTACCACTGTTTTATGTGTGGTCCGTTGTGACCAAAATGTCACTAGGCAGCACATGACTGTATCTTTAGTATTAAAATTATTAACATGACTTTACACATGTATGTGAAAGCAAACCTTGACCAGAATTCTTCACAGGCACTTTGTGGGC